TGGATTCAGCGTTTCATTTGCATAATGCTGTCTCTGTTAGTTAGTTTCTGATTGTAACCTTGTTTTATCAAAAAAAAAAAAAACCATTCGAATCCTTGTCGGTTGTTAGAATAACAATCATATCCGAAGGTGATATGCACGTTTTAATTTTTAATCTCAAGTTTTTGTCGTGTGAAGATTTCAGCTTAATTAAATATTCAGTGACATTCAATCGTATTTTGAAAGGCATGTACGTATGTATATAATAAAATATATTTATTATACTACCTCCGATCCTAATTACAAGACCTTATTTGTAGACTGTAAATGAATTCTTATGATTAGGACCAAAGGTAGTCTAATATTTAAAATGATAATGCAAACAATTGAATGATAAAAAAAATCAATATCTTTACAACCAAAAAAAAACATCAATATGTTGGTTAGTCAATGAAAAATCGTGTTCTATAAAAAAAGGAATGGAATAAAATAACAGATTTTTATATTTGGAGGAAAGTTTATGTCCTCAGCTAAATATTGGGAAAAACTAATCTGGCAGTTGGTATACTTTTACTAGATTTTATATCAAGTTCCTCTAATTTTTTTTTTCTTTTCATCAAATTCATATTGTTTGCTCAGCTACTAGTTACCTTCCATTTATGATTGTTGTTACTTTAAGTTGACAGCACCGATGTGAGGGAGAAAACACATCAAGGATCTAATAAAAAGCGAAAAAAAATTATAGGGACATGAAATATGGAATAGGTTAATAACTAATTGGACTCAATTTTACATCCAAAACATGATAATTATTACTCCTCCAATTCTGAATGTAAAACCTATTTTATAATATATATATATAATATAATTGACATAGTATAAATTATATTATAAAATGGGTCTTATATTTAGGATCAGAAGGCCATCATATATCTTACCTCCAATCCTAAACGTGATAATTATTACTCCTCTAGTTCTAAATATAAAACTCATTTTATAATGTATTACTTCCAGTCTTATTTATAAGACTTTGTTTGCGGACTACAAACAAAGTATTATAAATAAGACCGGAAGTAGTATAATATAATTGGCATAAAATAAATTACACTATAAAATGAATCTTACATTTAGGATCAAAGAAGTATTTATATCTTACCTCCAATCCTAATTATATGATCTAGATTGTAGTCAATTTATATTACAAATTAGAATATTAGATTTTATAATTAAGACGGAGGTAGAAATATTTATGAATTTAGATTGGGTGTGAGTTGCAGGAACTCTTATGTCTTTTGTGTGTGTGTGTGATCAGGGATTAGATTCTTAACATAGATTATTCACTGAGAAGCAATCAGAAAGGCCCAACATATCAAGCCACGTCAGTTGAGGTTGATTTTTTATTATAAAAGAATGATAATTAAGAACCTTGTGAGAAAATTTAATACTCTGTGTTATATTTCGGAGCGGCTGTAGTATTTTTCTGTCATAAGGAGAGGATATTCAAGCTGTAAATATAGAAAGTGTTTCAAAGTTTTGGTTATGAGTAGATCTCCGTTCATTTTGTTTAATCTTGTAAGCCATCAACAACATGCGAGAGATCAAACGTAGTACATCGTATTTCTGAAAAGGCTTTAGCAATGGCCTGAGCTGTTGTCCCCATGCCAACCCAACATCAACCAACGGCTTTATGTCATTGAACACCTCTTTACAACTTTCAATCGCTACATTTATGACTAAGTTCGCATCGCTAGCCATAGCTTCATTGAAAGAGTGATTAAAATTAGGAGCATCATAATTTGGAGCCAATCGGTCATCTCATACCAAGGCTTTTTTATGACGGGATCGATCGATCATAGCGGGGAAGAAAGGTGTCGCGGTTAAGGGATGGTCCTTTCGAAGAAGGGTGGATAGTTAGGACATAGCCTTCCTCTAAAGGATCATCAGATCAGTTTCTCAAACTTTTTAAAAGAGAGAAGAAGCTAGAAATAGGTGAGGAGTTTAATTAGGCAAATGTTTTGGGACCTAGAAGGGTGGATATGTAAGGAAGAGATGAGAAGAGAAAAAGGCCTGGGCTTGCCGTGCTTGCGAACGGTGTCTGGGATGTTTAAGAGGTGTTTGGATAGAAACCAAACCATGGTTTCAGAAGTACTTTTACGGATTACGAAGTAAATATGTGGAGGAGATTACCTCGTTTTGTGGAAAAATGCTTCTGAAACCATGGTTTTGGATTTCCCAAACACCCCCTTATGGCAGGCCTGAGAGGCATTGAGTTTATGAAGCTGAAAGTATGGCTCCATATATGGGTCTGAACATTAAGCAGTCTTAGCTTGTTGCTCCAAACTCTTTGTTTTGGGATTCCACGACTCTTTCTCATTTGCTGGAAGCTAATTAAGCTGATGTGATTTCGATTTACCAGATTGTGGCGGCTATGCTTGGAAGCTAAACCACTAGGAGGGTCAATAATTTATAGTTTATGAGAAAGGGGATTGCTTTATTGGCCTTTAAGTTACGGTGACCTATTTTATTGCTCCCTCACTATCAAAAATTACAAGGTTAAAAATGTTAGTTAAATTTCCCTAAAAATAACAAATGTGTAAGATAGATGCATATTTTTCCAGTTATATCTTTATTTGTGATAAGAGTACATGAAAGATAATGAGTGAAATTTGTTTACAGAGAAATATGGTAAGTAGCACATATAAAAGTAGAAATACAAGTTTAAAATTTATGACAGAGAGGATTTATTTATTATATTTAGGGATATCACTATAAGAGAGGTTTAGGGTTTATCTTAATTATGATAAAACATGTTAAAAATGACTTACTCTTCCGGTCTTAAATATAAAACCCCTATACTAGTGTGTATAAGGGTCTTATATTTAATATCAGAGGAGTATTATATTAGAGAAGTATATAATAATAATAAATTAAGCAGGTAAATAATAAAAACGAGTATGATAATGTGCCAAGGATATCACTCAAATCCTTTGTAAGCTGTTAGAATAACAGATACCAATTTTATATACGAACGGTGAAGGTGACATGCAACATAACAATCACGAGTTTTTTGTGTGAAAGCTTCAGGCTAAAAGTTAAATCTTTATGGTGATTCGATCGTGCTTTGAAAGGCATGTATAATAATTATAAAATATTACATCTCATGTTTAATATAAGATCTACTTAACTAATTTAGAAACTTTAAAATATTTATATTTATCATTTTTTAAACTAATTCGCTTGAGTTATAAACTAATATATAATTTAATAAAACACATAAGTATTTAATAAAGATTGTATAATATATGCTATAATTAAATAATTTATTTAATATTTTTAAATTAGTCAACTGGGTCTTATATTAAAAACTGAAAAAGTATATATTACATGCCACAATATTTAAGATGATAATGTAAATACTCTGATCCTATCCTAAATATAACATCTATGTTGTAGTATAATTTATACTACAAAATAAGTTTTATATCTAGAATAGGAAGAGTAATTAAAAGATTAAATAATCAACATCATCAACACTTCCAAATAGACTAACCCAAAAGCCAAAATCCCTTGAGATAGACATGGAGCTGCCCTTTGCCTCCAAACAGGAAGTAGAGGGAGCATGCAACGGGAAGTAAGTATTTTCGTATGAATGTGAAAAATCTTTTTCGAAAATATTTAATTGTACACGACGATATTTTGATTTACTCAGATAGTTATATAGAAATAGAGTTTATAACGATATTGTTCATGACCCAACTTTTTTATTTTTAGCAAACGACTCAAGTTATTTTGTTTTATATTAAATCATTATGGAGGACTGTAAAGTATCATTCATAATTTCATAAAAAGTGTGGGCTCATGTGTTTTTCTAAATTATTTGACGCTTGTTTTACAATATAATTTAATAACGCAATAATTGAAGCACGCAAAAGTAAAGGTATGTTAGTTTATTGCTAATTTGAATCGGCCGACCAAATAATTCTCGACCTGAATCTTTACTGTAGATTTAATCGTCTTTTAAAAAGCATATGATATCATTAAAAAATATTATTCAAATTTATAATTTTTTAAATGATAATACAAATGACTAAATGATTAAAAAAATAAACAGTTCCCTCATAATTATTGGGTTATATAGGGGGAAAAATCGATACTTCTGAACAAAATTTAAGGGATCGAACGATTTTGTTTTACACCATCCAAATTTTATCTGGAAAATGTGAAAAGAATGCATATAAACCAAACGCAAGGATGCTCGTGAGGTTGAAAAGTCTTTCTCATTGTTTATTCTCAACTTCAATTTTTAAAATAGGCCATTCATATCCATTCTTGTATGTGCCAGAAAGGTTGGAAAGGTATAAAAAGGATTACTTTTATTTTTTCTTTATGTGCTGGAAATGTTTGACACATTCTTTATATTTACCCTAACCTCTTTATCTTAAGTTATAATGACCCTAACCTCATGATTTAATCGTCTTCTAAAATGCATGGATGGTTAATAAAATGTTGTTAATATTCACAACATTTATAATGGTAATAATAGTGACTGAATGATTAAAAAAAACACTTTTTTTTATCTATATATGGTGAATTAAGTCTAGTAGAAGGGTTTCAAATTGAAACTTTCAATATTGCATACTATGAAGTATGAACAAATCCTTTTGAAAAAAGGTGATTTGAGATCCATAATATCATGCTACTTAAATCTAACATTACTATCATGTAATGTACGTACTTTTATTTTTTAATTGTAATATAAAGGAATTTAACTGCAGTGTTACTTTTTAATCCAATCATTGTTCAGTAAAAAGTTGGTTCAGGCTCTTCTTAAAATTGGTCCCTACAATAATATATATTTATTATAAATAATTGATTTAAATAATTTTTTTAATATTCATAAATTAGTTATCTAACTCTTATATTAAGTACCGAAACTAGTTCTACAGTATCACAGGGTCTCGGGTTGCCTGTATAAATAGACCCCAAATGAAATTCGAGTGCCTGCAAAGAGATACCACAACTAATACACTCTACTATCTCCAATATACCTGCAATCTATGGGAACTCAAAACGAAGGGCACGAAGCCACGACAAGAGTACTTGAAGCTCAAACCCATGGATGGAACCATGTCTTAAGTCTCATAAACTCATTGTCCCTCAAATCTGCAATAGAGTTAAACATCCCAGACATCATTCACAAGCATGGCAAGCCCATGCCTCTTTCTCTTCTCGCCTCTTCCCTTCAAATCCACCCTTCCAAGGCCCCTAACCTCCGTCGCTTGATGCGCTTCCTCACTCATACTGGCTTCTTCTCTCTCCAGAAACTCCCAGAAACTTCTGGCCCTTTAGAAGAAGATGGCTACGTCTTAACTGATACATCAACCCTTTTTCTCAAGGATCATCCCTTCACTCTCACCCCTTTCTTGCTTTCCATGCTTGATCCACTCATGATGAAACCATGGGACCATTTTCCCACTTGGTTACAGAATGACGATCCGACGCCGTTTGAAACGGCAAATGGAAAGGCGTTCTATGACTATGCTTGGCATGTGCCTAAGCTTTTCAATTACTTCAGAGATTACATGGCTGGTGATTCACAACTGGTGTCGAAAGTGTTGGTTGAACAGTGTAGGGATGTGTTTAAGGGATGTGGCTCGCTGGTTGATGTGGGGGGTAACACCGGGACCATGACCAAAGCCTTGGCTGAAGCTTTTCCAGAAATGGAGTGTACTGTGTTCGATTCGCCTTACGTTATTGGCGACATGAAGGGCTGTGGGAATCTCAGGTTCGTCAAAGGAGACATGTTTCAAGCTATTCCTCCTGCTGATGTTATATTAATGAAGGTGACACTAAAATCTGAATAATCTTACAACTTTCCAATGGAAAGATATTTTTTTCAGTGTGTGTATGTATGTATTAATTTATGAGGATTATATTGTTTGTTACTTTGAATGACAAGCAGTGGATTCTTTGTGACTGGGACGACGAGAGATGTCTGAAAATACTGAAGAACTGCAAGGAGGCAGTAACAAGCAAAGGCAAACGAGGAAAACTGGTTATAATAAACGAGGTGGTTGAGGATGAGAAGGGAGATTATGAATCGGTTGAAACACAGTTGCAATTTGATCTTCTGTTGATGGCAGTGCTCCCAGGAAAAGAGAGGAATGAGAAAGAGTGGGCCCAGTTGATTTCCTCTGCAGGTTTCAGCACCTATAAGATAATTCCAGTTCTAGGTTTAAGGTCCCTCGTTGAGGTTTATCCATAATTTTCCAGCAGCAAAGAAACTGAACAAGGCTTACAAGTATTGGGATTCTGCACTCTGTAATAACAATAATGCTATTTTGTTTTTAGTCGTCTGTCCTATTGGTAATATTTCGAACATTTGTATTCGTGTAAGAGAGAATAAGGGAATTGTGTTTCTCTCAAAAACCAGCTTGCTCGTTTCTTTCAAGTTTTATCAGTAGTTCCGGTCCACCTACGGAATACTGTGAATCAATTTTAAATTGCAGTTTCTAGAGTTCTGGTGTTAAATACCTCAATCATCATGCTAAAGTTTAGTTTATTTTTCAACAAATTAGATTGTTATCATGCAACTTATCAAAATAATCACCTAAATGATATCTATATATATTAAGCAATGGTTTGAGTGATAAGAGGCAATCACAGGCAAAGTTATCTTGTTTCAATCTCTTCTGCCAACATCTAGTCCTTTTCTTTTTCAGTGTAATACAGAATTTGTAATTAAAAATTCAACTAGGCTTTGAAATAAATATCTTTCTTAAACAAAATACTTGTTTGACCAAGCTCTCACAAACTCATGGACTCACTAATTTCTTACAATTTCAAGGAGCTTAGCGAGTTTCCTTCTTTGCTTCTGAAGGGCCCTTTTTATGATGTTTCACTTTGTTGTGTGCTGGGCTGATTCGTAATTTGTTAACAATAATTTACTTTAATAAAGGACCTTCTTGGTTCATTTTTCATTTTTCGGCTTTTGGCAGAAGTGTTTTGATGATAACCGGCCACGAGATCATGCTTTTGAATCATTGGACCAAGTTGAGTGCCCTGCTTCAGCTCTGTACAACACTGCTGTTAACAACTCTGATATGATTACTGTGTTGGATCCTCGTCGATTTGTAATTTTTTTTTTTTTGGGGGGGACCAAATTCATCGATCTGGTTTGAATCGAGATATTGACAACGAAATTGGCCATAATTCTGATTTGATTTCTCAGTTTGATTCATCAGAACTACGGTCACAACACGATGGTAAAAGGAAAACAAATTAGATTCGAGGCAGAAAACAGAGAAGATGAGGTAAATATCCCTAGAGGTGATTCTGTCAGGTGACAAGCTAACATTAACATGTAACATGTCCATTTACAGCAGGCAGGAACAATTAACAATGCATTGGAAAGGTATGGATATTGGGCTATGTCTTCTTATGGAAAACTAAGGCAGCAGAGGGACACTGCATAATAATAGTTTTATGTTCATCGGGAAGTTCTCTTTTACTGGGTAGTGCTCTGATTTCTGACATGCTGAGTATTTAATAACGTCAAGTTTCTTCGCATATGTTAATTATCTAATGGAGATGTTCGAGTTTAATGCAAAAATTGCCTATAAGCGTTTGAACCATGTGAAACTACATTTTGAACTATCCATTCATGAGTCTTTTGCCTATAAGGATCCAACCGTACCTGAGAAAGGAGAAATTGAGGAAGAGAATAACGAGCAAGTTTAACATGAAGCTGTCTGTCTTCAAGCATGGAAGTTTTCATTTCGTATAAATTTTGGTATAATCTTCCAAAGAACAACATTCCTATGTATCATCATCAAACAATGCTCAGAGGGGAGGGAAAAAAATATAAATATTAACACATCCCATATTGGTGATTATTAGTTCAGATGGAACAGACACCGACGGCTGTGAAATCAAATCCTTTGGTTTTCCATCTCTAAACTAAGCCGAGCAGCATCCAGCACTCTTAACAGCCGAGACATCGTCCCTACTTCCAACATTAATGGTCTGTCCCTTGGGTAATGCTGAAGGATCATCCCCAATCTCAAGAGTCTTCTTGCTAACAACATGATATATCTGAGTGAGCACTTCTGTGAAAGCATCGTCCACGTTCAAGGACTCAGCGGCAGAGGTTTCCATGAAGAACGTGTTTTCTCTCTCAGCAAACGCCTGGGCATCATCAGCTGACACAGCACGCAGGTGACGGAGATCTGCCTTATTTCCCACAAGCATAATCACAATGTTGGCATCTGTGTGATCCCGAAGCTCCTTCAACCATCTCTCCACGTTATCAAAAGTTATGTGTCTGGTAACATCATAAACAAGCAAGGCACCCACTGCTCCTCGATAGTATGCACTTGTTATTGCTCGGTATCTGCACCAAATAGCAACGATGAAAATTATTTTAATCACATGTCACATTCTGCAACAAGTTTAGATTAACATAACCAGAAATTGAAATTGAAATTAGGAAAAAAAAAAATTTGGTAAGAAGATTGATCATCTCAAGGGGATTGTTTGCCCTCCCCATTGAACATGCATAGTTCCAAACTTCCAATGCAATGTAAACTGATCCATTTCGTGTTTCTTATTCTATTACTTTGTAGAGTTATCAAGATTAACGGTTGGTTCAAGACGTAGCGATCAGATAGCGTTAATTGATCCCTGTTTATAAGCTCCAGATCTATAAGTTTCAAAATAAGCACCGGCATCAAGGTCATAAAGAAAGACAAACTCCAACAAAATCATATATTCGACTTCAAATTTTCTCTCCCACCATTTTCATTCACCAGCAACAATATACTAGAGAAACAATCCTGCTCTTCCATTAGATAAGAGCACATTTTCGATGGGCAGAACAAGAAATAAAGGGAAGAAATAAGAAGTGATGTCTAAAGAAATTGGTTCTGAACCCATTCAATAAATCAACACAATCGCTGTTCAATCTAAGGATGATCAATACCACACCCAAAGCAAAAGGCGGGTGTGCTTCTGTATCCTTCATAAAAGTGTTGCACACGATAGTTTGCTCCAATGGATATAAGACAAGGAGAAAATTAATAAAAGAACAAATCTTTGTGGTCCAGAGACCCCATTATCCCCAGTTTCAGATCCAAAGCAAGAGTCCCAATATAATCAAAACGACCAGCCAGTTTGCATCATTGGCGAATCAAATTCGATGTAAAATTAATGAAACCATGAAAATTTATTTACGCGAAGAGACCACCGTGCAGACCATACAAACATATCTCAATCTCTCAATTTCATGCATTTCTAACTATAAAAAAAAAAAAAGAGACATCGTACACACAAAGAACCAGATCAAATCCCAAAAGAAATGACAAGAAAAAAAAACAGAAGAATACCTTTCTTGGCCAGCTGTGTCCCAAATTTGCGCCTTTACAATCTTATCATCGACATGAACGCTGCGGGTAGCGAATTCAACCCCAATGGTGGATTTGGATTCCAAGCTGAATTCGTTCTTGGTGAATCTAGACAAGAGATTGGACTTTCCAACACCCGAGTCACCGATCAGCACCACCTTAAACAAGTAATCGTAATCATCGTCGGCCCTATAAGCAGCCATTTCTGGTGGGAGATCAGACGCGGAAGTCTGATTGAAACGAGATGGGTTGTTGCCGGATCAAAATTGAAAAACAGAAGTAATAAACGAGAGTTTCAAACGCAATTGAGGCCTTCAAACGGCAAAGTGCAATTGAATATCGTAACCTTCAGCATTGTACAGAAGAGAGAAAGAGAAAGGCGGGTAGTGTAGGCGCCGCTTGGAAGAGAAGGAGGGAGAAGTATTCAAAGCTCAAATCTTCTCTCTCTCTCTCTTCCCCTCGAGATAAAAACAAACAACAAGTAGTTTGGCTTTTGTATGTTTTTGCTTTCACCCTCAAACGCAAACCTGCCATTTTGAGATTTGGTGATAGAGAGAATTAAGGGACGGCCTTTAAAATCACTTTCCATTTTATCTCTTCAGAAAAGTGGTTTTTTTTAATTATTTAGTTAATTTATTTACTCACCTCTGAACAAAAAGGAAATATACTCGAGACTTATCATCTCATTTTGTTCGAAACAATAATTAATAATAATTCTAATTGTAATTAAGTATTGCATGGATACCTAAAAAAATATTACTAGTACAAGACACAAGGGAGGTTTTTTAGAAAGAAGAAAGAGAAATAATAATCAAACCTACTTTCATTAAATATAAAAGAAAATCATTGGTTACTTTGCTTGCTTGGGTTTCTTGTACCGAAAAATAAAAAACTTGTTTTTGACCCAAAAAAAAAAATACCAATGCTTGATATAACGGGATAGGGATAGAATGATATTTAATTAATTAAATTCAAAAAATTTATTCAAGAGCACAACAATTCTGAGAAACATGTGCATGTGTCTAAATTCATTTATTATTATAATCGTTTAAAAGCTTTCATTTATGGACACGAAACATGGTCATTTTTTGTTGTGGTTAAGAAAGTTTCATCATTTGAAAAAGTAAAGATAGGCAAGCGTTTTAGCTCCCACACAGATTAAGAACGGAAAAACGATAATTATCTTTGACTGAGGAGATTTTCTTTTGGGGAAAAAAAAAGGAAAAAAAGATTTAGTAAGAGGGAAGGTATATGGATTACATCATTCTTCGTTCTCGAAAGGAGTTTCAAACTCGGATTCTAAAATAGGAACTAGTCAGTTCAAACATGGGACAATTAACGAACACTTGATTAGACGGCAAAAATGACCCAAGTCAATGGTTGATGTGATCCACTACCACGAAACCATCTAAAGTTGTGGTTAGTCAGCATGTCATGATTAGGCCGATGGGATATCTACAGAACAAGCCTCCTTGTATCATGGGGCTAAAAAAGCCGCTTTCAAATGGATCAAGCCTGTTTCACGGTTGACAGAGAACTTGTTTGGAATAACAATTGCCTTCAAAGCAACTCTCCAACCTTTTTATAAAATACAAAATAAATATATAAAAAAACATCACCTCAACTTATGAAAAAATATATATAAGCACTTAATAAAAGCAATCCCAAACAAGCCCATAAACGTTGATAACTACTACTGCCGCTAAATTTAAAAACTTCATAATTAATTTTTTTTAAAAAAAATTAGTTGAGGTTATTATTAGTTAAAGACTAAAACATACATTTGCACCTTTAACTTTGTACAAAGTTTCAATTTAATCCCTTAACTTTAAAAAAATATACTTTTAGTCCTTTAATTTTAAAAATTTTTTAAAAAATTATGACATTAAGATCTTAATTGTTGATAAAATGTTCTGAAATACTAACATATTAAATTTAATTTTTAAAATATTCATGATTGTTGCAAAAAATCATCATTAAAACCTATTGATTTTAGAGTTAAAAGGCCAAATATATACTTTTTAAAATTAAAAAACTAAATTAAAACCTTGAACAAAGTTAAAAGAACAAATATATACTTTAGTTTTAGTTAAAAAAAATGATATTGATTCTTTTAAAATACTCCTTTCAATCATTTATATTGAAAACTAAGCCTATAAAAAATCCTTTTAATATGTACAAGACTAAAGCTAATAGATGGTTCTACCATCACATATTTTGATATATCAACTCACTATTAGATTATGTGGCCTATGCGTCTGTAGATTGAAAATGATAATGTCATTTAACCCTCGTGGACATAGATTAACCAATCACAATGTACAATGAATCATCACAATCTTGCACTGGTTGGTCACATAAATAGCAACATTACGGAGTAAAGCATTGTTGTATAATTCCTAGTAATGGCCATGTGATTCAACTGCCGAGTTGTATTGCCAAACACACACTAAGAAATTATCCTCTTCACATCACATTACAGTAAGCAACGTCTTCCATTGCCACATTTTTATTTCATGGAAAGCATAGAGTTGCTTTGCTCAAAGAATAATTCTTTAGGTACTAGGTGTTATAAATTACTCGAACTAAGCCAGAACAGGATCACCCAAAAATGATAGTGACTGAGTAACGACAATAAAATACACTTACTGTTACAAAAATGTTTCGAGGACGAAGTCCTCACTCATTCCTTTGGCTTTTTACTCATGCTTTTGCGCTTGTTAACATCAAGATATTTCTTCCTCAACCGTATAGCCTTTGGAGTCACCTTCACAAAACCCAGAAAAATAAAAGTAAATAAACCAGTAAAAAGAAAATCACGAAACTAAAATCAGAGGCCAAGTGAGCGGGACATGGCGCAAGCAAGTCAATTATATGCACCACGAAGGTGCAGAAAGTGCGAAGTAAATGGAAGATGCCATGTGAAGAATATGATTAAGAGAGGGGTGGGAGTAGAAGTGCCCATACACCTTGCATCCCCCAATTAACGGGAAAATGTTATGCCTATACATCTTGCATCCCCCAATTAACGGGAAAATGTTATGCCTATACATCTTGCATCCCCCAATTAACGGGAAAATTATGTACACCGATAATGTATCAGAGCCAGAACTAACCTCGATAAGCTCATCTGAAGCTACATATCCTATGGCTTCTTCAAGGGTCATCTGCAAAGACAAATTGATAATTTCTTCAATAGACGATATCAAACTCTGGAATTCCTCCATGATTTATGTGTTCCATACTTCCACTATTGATAACCACATAATTAAGATATCTTCTAACAGTAAGAATAGTTAATAAAGACAACTACTTTGCCCGTTCGAAAACAAACAGAACCCACTCACTTTAGTCAGATAAATATTACTTCAAAAGTTTTTAAAGCATGTAAATTTAACCAGTTTGTCATATACAACTTGTCACAGCACCGTTACTTATAAACAATTTGGTGTAATGAACTCCTTACTAAGTGATGGGAAATATTGGAAAATTTACCATAGGAGGAAATAGATTTATTGTTTTATGTAATGATTATTATCTTATGTTTAGTGCAAGTGGGTTTCTTTTTCAAATGATGGCAGGGCATATGGAGTAACAAGTGGGTTCTGCAAATAGATAAATAGAGTCTAATATATCTCATGTAAAGTAACTTTTTATGATTGCAATACATTTTGGCTTGCTGTGACGTTCAGATATCTCAATTCCTCTCCCTCTGACCTATCTCTTCCTTCCCTTCCTATTCTGCAATTCTCCCCTTATATTCCCCTACGTCGCATCAGTGCTAGCATCAAAGGTTTCTGGCGCTGTGTGTGTGTGTTACATCACTAAGTCTCATCAACTGATAAATCCTACAAAACCATTCCTAGAGATTCAATTAACGCACAAGAATCCGAACCCTACTCAATAACGCACTAATAGAATTCTCACTCGTCTAAATTATGAAAATGACCAAAATAATATCTCATGAATATTGAAGACATACAAGACGAGGAGGAGACAGCTTGATATTTTCATCACTGCCAGCAGCACGAATATTTGTAAGTTCCTTAGCTCTCACTGGATTGACCTGCAGGATCACAATCAATCTCCGTCGGTCACTGACTTACATAATACACAATCAATGAAAGAATATATTTCTCCTTACATCAAGATCTGTATCTCGTGAGTGTTCACCAATAATCATCCCATCATATGTCTGTACGCCAAATGAAGAATGAGAAATTACAGGCAACATACAAGAATAATTTAATAGAGATGCTACAAATAAAAGCTAGGTGCACGATTGCAGTAGTGCACATCTCGAGCTCATTTAAATCATGCATCCCTTCTCATGCTTCACCATCGTTTCAAATTAACACCAATTTAAACACCCTCGAGAATCCCAATTCTCATCAGCAAGATCATGGTTAGATTAATAGCAACAAAATGTTTATCACTAGCAGCACTGCCCTCTTCAAAAGTACATGGAAACCAGGGAAGGGGGGGGGACATTACCTATTCAGATACAGTTAATTTAGAGTAAAACTCGGCAAAATATAAACATGTTAACTACCATGCTTGCAATCGAAATCCATACTTGAAAGACACAAAACGAGCAGATTTCATAAATATCCAGTGCAAGTTGATGAAACAGTATGACATATAGTAGAAGAAATGGGGGAATTTTTCTTTTTTCCGTGAACAGAAAAAGAGAATGAAAAAATTAGCAGCATATAAATATAATATTTGCTTCGCAAAAAACAGAACTTGACATTTGAAAGAAAAAAGTTCCCAAACACAAGGAAAACATTTAATGAATAAAAGATGGAAAATTAATTCAGGCAGGACCAACCTCCATTCCCGGGGATACAAATAAAGTCCCACGAGCTTCTAAGCTCATTAATGCATAAGCCCTAATTGTACCATAACCCATTGATACCTGTTCAATCAACGGCCAAAAGACAATTAGTAGAGCAAGCTTTATAAATTGAGACATAGATCTTAATGGCGTGCGACTAGTAGGTCCAGGTGAAAAACAATTATTGCTTAGCAATGTAGATGCAACATTAGACACGCATACCAATACTCCTTTCCTGACATTGCCAAGAGGACCTCGAAATTTTTCATACCCTGCAAGATAGCAATGATGCATGTTAGGCATACTGTCGTATAATCAAGTCAGTGACGCCGAGGTAAAGTGCAAGGAGAAACGAACACTTTCCAGAAATGAAAATGTGCAGTTAGTAAAGAAAACAAGCACAAGGATTTTAAGACATGGATATAAGAAAAACATACAGCCTATGGAGAACTTTAAGAGCATTATTTGCAAACATATTTCACTGATGATTAGATCAGTAGCATAAAATGGCCCATAAAAGAAAACCCCACAATATCCTAAACAAATCCATTGGTATGACAATGAGATATGATAGAAAACAACAAACTTATCAGAAAGAGACGAGTTCAGCACAGAATGCATACTAAGGAAAGCACGGTGCATGAAGCCAGTTCCACGCGTGTCACTGCTGAACACACTTCTATAACCAACCAGGCCCCTGACAAACATAACATGAAAGTAGAAGTTACCAGATGTTTAATTTCACTGAAGAAGTAATGTCAGAAAATTCAATATCTTGTATTGAAAAGGGGGAAAAAAAGAGAGGAAAATTTAATATATAGGGTTATGCGGAAAATCAGCAAGACTCAACAGATAAATAAGATGTTTAATGAAACATGTTCTTGACTCCAGTAACTAGTGTAGAATTAAGCTATTGGTTGAAAATATGTAGCCAAACTGAGGAAACAATCAGCGTGTTAGGACTCTAAATAAGGTGATTAGTCTTGAGGGCTCATTCATGAAGCCCACAGCCATTTTTGAGCAGGCGAAAAGCCATAGACAAATAAATAATTAATTCAACTTAAATACTATCTACATAATTTTGTAACCATTACTTGATTATGTTTCAACGTAAGATCACGAGGTCAGTGGAATGTAGCAATCACCCCTATAGAAAGGGGCAAAGGAATGAGAAAATTCATGTGTAATTCATCAAAAGTCAAACAAGTCTGAAAATATAAACTATGTCCACTATTTTAGAATTGAAAAAGGTTCCGAAGCTTAAAAATACAAGATCCCAGGGGAAAAAACAGCTCAAATGCACAATCCACATTTCTCTCAAATAATGACACCAAAAGCTTATTGCACAAGAAAAACAATATAGGTAGGAAGACAAAGATACAACTAGACTAACCTTGATGGACAAGTCAAAGACAATCTAGTCCGACCAGCAGTTCCAGAGACGGGACCCATGTCCATAACTTCAGCTCGCCTATGAGATAAGGCCTCCATAACTAACCCAACATGCTCATCATTTACCTGGAATAAACACATTTAGATACACTTCTTTTTATTTCAGAAATTGAACATATCATTCATCAAAAAAGTGTTATGAACACTGAATTAATTTCTCACCTCAATTGTAACTTCTTCAATCGGCTCAAGTTTCTCACCACTTTCAGTTTTATACCTAAAAGCAGAGAGAATATTCATCCAGTGAATTATAAAAGTGATAGAAATAAGGTATGCAACTTGTAAAACTAAGCAATTAAAACCACCATGGAAGTATAAGTAGCTTTGGTTAATTATAACATATAGTGATGAGCCTTCCACATAAACTAAAGGTTATAATACCCACGATTATCAAGTATAGCTGTAAAATCCTTGATTCAGATAATCCAGGCACAATTAAACAGACCATAACATGCTACCAAAAAATACCTGAACAGCCTCTAAACCAACCCTCAGAGAAAAAAGACTTGTGCTTAATGGCTGTTAGCCATACTTTTATCTCCATAAAAACACCCATAACAAATGCATAAAAAACTGCAGTGTTCGCTCAGTATTTATTTACGTAAGTCCCATGTGAAGTGTGAAACCAAAACCAATAACACAAATGGGCCATGGAAAATAGTAAGCCCAAATTTGGATCCCACTCAGCCCTTAAAAACTCACATGACTTTAGGCGGAGAGACAGACAACTCAAATCCTTCACGCCTCATATTCTCAATAAGGATACCTGTTCATAAAGATGAAATTTTATGCAATTATTAATTAAAGATATATTCACAAATACATCTTGACAAGAAACGTATAATATTTACAGAGGCATAAACAAACCCAATTGTAGCTCTCCTCTTCCCTGAACTTCATATGAATCTGATAAGCCTGGTAGCACATTTATGGCAATGTTTGTTTCAGCTTCGGACACCAGCCGATTGCCAATTTTTCCTCCAGTCAACTACAAATAACTCAGCATGTAAATCCAGTTATCAAGCAGAGCAGAAAGCATACAAATTTCTGAATAGTGAAGTAGTTTTGGAACCTGAATCAGAGGGTTACTAATACTAACTGACATCAGTAGTGACAAATGGCATACACAGCAAAACAAACCATCAATGAAACAAACGGATGCTAAAATGAACACAACTCACATGAGTACCATCACGACCAGCTAAAGGAGAGTCATTTACACCAAAAGTCATGGAAATTGTTGGAGGATCCAGCTCAATTGTGGGTAATGCAGCCATAATCTAGGACATTAAGATCATAAGGTTATAGCAATCATCATATCATTCTTGAAATAATCCTAATAATATGAATCACTAAGTCTATATAAAAACTGGATACGCACATCTCATGATTTAGGTAATAATTTAGGTAATATATCGTGCTTGAACTATCATGTGTTTGAACTCTTAACCGGGGAACAAATGGTGGAGTCATTTACTAGTTTTTGTTAATGAAAAGAGAATCACATTATAAAAAACAGCAAATTACGTCAGGTTCCTAAAAGTATTCAACCCCCCCCCCAAAAAAATAAAAGGTCATGAATATTAAAGGAAGTCATTTAATAGCTTCAATATAATAAATCGCTAATATAAAGGTGTATTAGAAGGTAATAGTACCTGCACTCAAACAGAGAACTTAGAAACGTATAGGCAAGTGTTTGGGTGCTTTTAATGAAATTAGATATGGATTTTTTGCTATATTAGCAAATCAACTTAATGGTTTATCTTTATCCTGTTAATTTAAATATATTATAATCAGGGCACATTAAATGGTCCCGTAATTAACCAAATGACCATTGATAACAACAAAAGCATAAACACATATTACAAATTAATATCTCCACCTCCGCAGTTGCTACTGTGTTGCCTATTATCGGACTCGCCAACCCAGCCATCGAAATAATATCACCAGCTCCAGCACAATCAATTGGAACCATGCTTGTACCCTTCTTTTTCATTAATTTCACAACCTACAAGATAATAAAAAAGAAAATTAAAGCTAAAAGTCAAGACTTGAATTATCTTAATATAAATGTGACACACTTCAAAAAATTTAATATCAGGACCACTATCATTGTCTCCATTAATAATAATTTTGTTTAACTAAATATCTTCACGAAAAGTATTACAGTCAGGCATAATCTTAAGCACTGTATAGAAACTGTGAGATGCAGCTTTTATAAAAGAAGGATATATCCAAAGATTTGGTTGTCAATAATGATGCCATGCAATCCATGTAGCCAACCCCACCTAGCGAGATATGGCTGCTTCTTGTTTTTGTTGTTTAAAATTGTTAGATAATTTCTTATCATATACTAGTAAAAGTACCAACTTCAAAATATCCATCTACAAACCTTTCCATCTTCAATCTTTTCTACTCCAGAATCTTTGTTAGATAGACCATGAACCTTGTCACCTACACGAACAATCCCAGAATGAACACGTCCAGTCAAAATTCGCCCAAGATAGAAATCCCGTTCCATCATTGAAACCTGAAAGTCACTATTAAGCATGGTCTTTCACTGATCCCAACCAAACGACTCAAGAAATTATAACAGAATCACCACAAACTCAAAACGCATACAGGAAATTTATTTTTTAAAAAAAAAAAAAACCATAGTTTCCAAAACTTTTTTTTTTTAACTATTATTATTTATGACTTGAATGCGAATATTTGGAAAGGAAGTAGATTTTATAATCAATACAGTGGCAACGGAAGGTAGGAAGCACCATAACAAGTTGACATCTCCAAAAGGGAACTTATCACATGAACATAACAACAACAACAAAATAAAAAAATATTTATATTTAAATACCAACCAGCATTTGAAAAGGCGCACCAATGTTTGCCTTTGGTGGGGGGACATGAGTTACAATGGCATCAAGAAGCTGTGACATATTTTTTGTCTCAGCAGGAGGATCCTTGGTAAAGGTGGTGGATGCCCATCCTTCTTTAGCAGAAGCATAAAGAACTGGAAAGTCTAATTGTTCCTCTATATATACAGATAACTAAGAGTTATGCATAGCCAGTGAGAGAGAGAATCTAAGATATGATAGAAGTAAAGACAATCCAGAAATATTTCTAGCCTGTACCTGTTGCACCAAGGTTGGCAAAAAGATCAAACACCACACTCTCAACTTCATTACACCTCTCCTCAGAGACTGCATAGATTATAACTGAATATTACGCCCAACCAATTCCAAAAGAAGGTAAAATATGAAAAATAAATCTAACATAATAATAACTGCTTCTTCTCCCGTAGTAACTGAGACACATAACTTTAAGCATCCGTTTGGCCGTGATTTAGTACATGAACATGGCATGAGGAATAAAAAGTTATGAGAGGGAAAACCAACAATATCTAGAAAGAAAATTGATAACAGAAGTGAAGAACAACTGGCAGACAAAGTGGAAAACACTGCCAAAAAAAAGAATAGGTGATTTTTTCCCAAAAATTCCGCTTTAGTATCATAAACTATGCTACTAACGTATTTCTATTATGTCATGAGGCATAAAATCACAAAATAAACAATTGGCAGATTACCTGAAGGTCGGTCTACTTTGTTCAAAAGAAGAAGAGGCCGCAACCCATACTTTAAGGCTTTTGCCAAAACAAATTTTGTTTGTGCAAGGGGACCTTCACCAGCATCTACAACCAATACTGCTCCCTCAACCATGCCAACAACTCGTTCAACCTAACCACCAGTACTACTTTCAATCCAACATAGAAAATGTTTTACGATTAAAGAACTTTCAGAATGGCAGTCTAATTGAAGCATAATTACGTTTGATTCATTATAAGGTAATGGATGGGGCACAGGGCATAAAATGTTTATAAGATGAAATATCCAATGAGCAAACCTATATATATATATATATATTAGTACACGAAGCTTCGGACCCTAGTCCTTTAACCTCACCCCACACCATCCTTACCAACTAAGGTAACCGCAGGTGGCTTGCACACCTATATGGTTCTAAATATTCAAACATTTCATGGTTCCCCCAAGGCATTATAAAATTAACATCTGCAGGGTATGAGGTCAAAGAAAATATGAAATGGAATAACACGACATTTATGTAAACTATTATGTTTGCATCTTAAAAGCCAACATATGATCCTTTATGACTTTTTTTTAGACAAGAAGATTAATATTGTCACTGGCAATTCATCTGAATCTATAGAATAGCACCAGTTCATGATTTTAGAAAACTATTGAAATGTTTGACGCCATTAGTAAAGCCCAGTTGGTTCTATCAAACAAGGAGAGAAGAAATAAACTAAAATAAGATAAAGCCAGCTGATACATACTTCACCACCAAAATCTGCGTGTCCAGGTGTATCAACCATATTTAGCTCATTTTCCTTCCATGAAACCGAAGTAACCTACAAATGGCAATCTAAAATCATGACTTTGATGTAGGAGGAAAATACTTATTGTTCAAGTTCAACTGGAGAATAGGCTTATATTATATAGGAAGTTAAATTCAGCTATTCATAATCTCTCTCACACACACACAACACACACACACACACACACACACACACACACCCCCAAAAAAAAAAACAAAACAAAAAGGAAGTCCGGCCATTATTAAGCTACACTTAGCTCCTGCTAAAAGAGGTCCAACGTCTAAGAACAATGAAATGCCAAGGAGTAAAAGGATATAGATTGTTTGATTCAAGCGTTAACATTTGAATCCTGGAAATTAGAACGACCGTTTTTTTTCTTTTTAAATATTCTGGCAGTATTATGTTTCCCACCACTAATATCCATTAAAAAGAAAATTTTATGATCAGCATATTAAGGCCTCGCAATAAGTTGGAGGGACTTCAATTCAATAAGCTTCCTTACCGCAGACTCAAACTTAATGTATTTCACATGGTTCCACAAATAAAAACAAAAAAACAAAAAACAAAACAAAAGGTTTCTTTAAAGTGAATGGAGAAGTGCGTATCAAAGCTTCAAACTTAGAAAAGACCAGACTTTTCGCAGTTGAGAATGCTATACTGCTCACTCAGTAAGAATATTAAGCTATTCAGTTTTCACTGTAAATAGGAACTACAGGTACTTAAATACAGTTTCTCCAGTAAATTCACTGGAATCCACAGACCTTGGAAGCGATCGTGATACCGCGCTCGCGCTCCAGACTGATGGAATCCATGGCGCGCTCGTGGGGTATATCGGCGCCACACTGACGAAGCAGTCGATCCATGAGGGTGGTCTTGCCATGGTCAACATGAGCAATCACGGCGACGTTGCGGAGGCAGCTGGGGTTGAGAGCGATGCTAGGTTCGACAGCGGCGGTAGCCAGGGCGGCGGAGAAAGCGCGGGAACCGGTGTTGGTTGGCGGCAACAAATGATATGGGGTGAAAAGGGATGGCGAAGAGGAAAACGATTTTCTGGTAGAGGACCAGAGAGAACGAAGAATAGGTCCCGCCATTTCTCCCAAAGAGAAAGTGGCGAAGTTTCCGTTTTGGCCACCGCCCTTGCCTTCTCTCTAGCCTGGACTGTGAATACCGTTTATTTTAGGTTTCGGCTAAGTTTTGCGTCAATTAGAGGGGCAAAAAGAATCTTTAAATAACTATTATTAGAATCCATATCAGATTAATATTTATTCAATTTCCATACAAGTTATAACAAGGGATTTTGTTTATCTTTACAATTATAAAATCAGTTTAGTCACGTGTAATAGTATTTATTTTATAATTTTAAATAGAATTAATATGATATTTGGTTTTTTAAATTTATTCTCATTTTGGTTTTGGTCCCTCACATTTTAGATCATGGGTTTTGATCCTTTAAAGACAAATTGGTCAAAAATTTTATTAAATTATAAGAATGTTTTAAATGAAAAGACATATTAACCCTTTTAAATAATATATTGATATTGATAATAAAACAAGACACATTAACTTATCATATATTAATTGAAAGACTTAATAATAAATGAAAAAAAAATAATATGTAAGTCCCTGTAATTTTCCCTTGCCTTCTCATTTGTTTTATATGTGTAAATTAGCATTAATAAAAATAATTGCAGCTTCCTCTATTGTTTGCTTTGATTTTCACTCTTTTGTTTTTTTCTTAACAAAGTTAATATCAGACTAAAGATGTGTTTGGAATGTTGTTTGGAGGCCTAAACATGCATCTCAAATGGAAAAGTTAGGTTGTGAAATTTAGCAGTGTTTGGGCTCACGTTTTGACAACATGACTTCTTGATTTGAAATGGACTTTTAGAATAAATTGTTTCAAGTTGTTTTTTCATATGCCACTGTGATGAATAATGAGCTTGCAAGGAAGCAAGTCTATATGCCCCAAGAATTCTAGCAAGCAGAGGTGCAATCCTACCAAATGAGCCTGTGGGGCCTTCTTCTTCTTCTTCTTCTTCTTTTTTTAAAAATTTTTGTACTGCAAGACAATTTTCATGTCGCTTAGTTAACATCTATATTAACCCTAACTAATAGATTAGAAGCATAAAAACTAATGCATAGCCATTAAAGTTTGATTTAGTTTGTGAAAAATTGGCTCATAACCTACAAAACTATGAGTTTAAAGCGAGGACTTTATTGATAAGTGATTATTTCTATGAATTAATGAAATAATATTTTCTATTATATTAAATCTAATTTTTATTAAATGTCAATTATGATAGGGAGGTTGTGGCCTAAATAAGTAGGGTTCAAACCTTTCTTCACATGACAACGGAGAAAAAAAATGATCAAAAGAAAGGATCAACGTTTTATTTTATTGAAGCATCTGCTAATAAAGCTATATGCAGCTTGGTGAGAAGAAATGAAGATGTTGAGGCAACACAAAGAGATGACTAATGCTATATTAACTTTCCTTATCACAAGTCTTATTTTGAATTGAATACATTCTACTTGTATCAAACAGATACATCTTAACATCATTTAGACCCACATCAAATATACGATAGGAGAAGATAGGAGAGTAGTTTGCAGCACATATGTTCAAAAGGAAAACTTGGGAAGAAGGAGGTTGTAAAAGGTACAGGACGAGAGTTGCACATGAACATTAATTATCAGAGGAATGCACATGTTCTGCTCTTCTTTCGCTTTTTCTTTGGCTTAGGTGGCTGCAAAACAACCTTGATCGCAGCATCAAATACAGCCTTCACATTCTGTAAAATCGCAGCAAACATATAAATTAGGGTAAGTTTTAAATCTCAGTTTCCTGCTTCAGTACCTGCTCAGAGGATAGAAGACAAACGGTACACACATGAATTTAGAAAACTGATCTTGGGTCTTCTAGCATCAACAACTGAGAGCAGAAGCTTTATATATATGCGATAAAGAGATGTTTAAATTGGAACCTTTTACTTTACAACATTTCATCTGCTTTTAGTGGCTCAATTTTCTCAGGAGAGACTTCAGCTACTAGCTTGTACGTGTTTTAAAAAAGCTTGTCAAGGTGTAAGAAAAAGATATCCAAACCTGCTGAGTCTTTGAGCTGCATTCTATGTAAACAGCAGCACCAATTGCCTTCTTCAGTTCTTCTCCCTGCCCAAGATTTATCATCAGTCTTAGGTGTCAAATAGGAAAAGGAGCTGAGAAATGTGTATGTGACTTGCCTGGGCAGTAGTTATAGGTGCAGCACCAGGATGATCGATCAAATATTGCCTGTCATCTCGCAAATCTGCAGCCAACCGCTTTCATTCTTAACTATTGTATGAAACTCAGATGGACTTGTAACTTCAATGAGACTGAATTATAAGTAGTTTACAGCTTTAGATGATACCAAGTTTGGTTCCCACAAGCACAACAGGCACAGTTGGAGCATAATGTCTTAGCTCAGGAATCCACTGTATACGAAATACTTGGTGTCAGATTCAGTATCATATCAATATTTTCAGCAAGATTTTCTGTTTGTGTAACAGGTTTGGTGATTTGAAGGAGAACCTTTTTAGCGATATTTTCATAGCTGGCTTTGCTGATGAGGGAAAAGGCAAGTAAGAACACATCTGCTCCTCTGTAGCTCAAAGGCCTTAGCCTGTTATAATCCTCCTGTCCTAAATCCATCAAGCTACAATTACTACATGAAATTAAGGAATTTTGATTTCAAGAAGATCTAGTTCTGGTGACAGAAACCTAAGAATCCCCTTAAAATAAGAACTTACCAGCAGTGTCCCATAATCCTAGGTTAACAGTGCTACCGTCAACCACCACATTGGCGCTGAAGTTGTCAAAAACCGTAGGCACATAATCCTAAATTTTTGTTTCCCGCAGAAGAGATCAAATTAATTTCCCTCTTTGATCAATCCAAACAGATTCTTAATTCACAAGTTCAAACATATATGCAAACAATCAATCAAATATCTTGTGGGCATACCGTGGGGAAGGTATTGCTGGTGTAAGATATAAGCATACAGGTCTTTCCCACAGCTCCATCACCTACTGTAACACACTTGATGAACCTTGCAGTGCTCATCTTCTTGAAGATCCTTCTCTTTTGCCCTCAATTCTCAGAAAACCTCATCATTTTGCTGCTGTTTCCATCACCGAGATCTTCTGGGTTGCTTTAAGTCTGAGAAAAAATTGAAACTTGAACCATAAACTGAAAAGAGAGAAGAGATGGAGGAGGAAAGGAGGAGTGAGTTTTGAATTTGAATAGAAATGGAGGGGAAGGAGGGTGGCATTTAATAATAAGAGGAGACCATGAGCACCAACTTTAGTGTGGTGTGGTTTCCTCTTTACAATTATTAATAATATTATTATTGCATTTGGATTTCTGTTTCTTTAAGGGGAAGGACAGAGCTTTAGACCAGTAAAGGAAGCGTTTGGTGATGCAGTGAGTGGTGTTAGTTGATTAAGTATTGTACAAGGGAGAGAGATAGTGAATATGAATTATTAGTATTTGGAATATCAACATTTCTTTATGCCTTCCAGGGAGCAATTAGTGCTACAAACCATGAGCATGAAATCCAATAGTTACTCAAGAGGACAAAAAATGGTTTAAATACTATTTTTTCCAATCTAGTTTTTCAATGGATTCTTTTTTTATTTATTATTATGATAGATATAAGTATAATTTGACATTATAAAACAAGAAGAAAGTGATAACAAGAGAATAAACAGTCCATAATGGCCTGTATTAATTTGTTTCTTCTCTTTATGTTTAAGCACATGACTGTAAATTATTTTTTCACAAAAAAATCGAAAATAAAATAAATGATATTGTGTTATCAAAAAACACATTAATGATATGTTGAAAATGGAGGTGTTCTTTATTACCCAACTGAAGCATGAAATCAAGTAGCACTATCAGGATACAGTGACTCAACTCCAAGTGGGTGAATGAATTTGACACATTACTCATGGGAATTATCTGTTTTCCACTAAGCAGGATTAATTATCCACTTCTCTAAATTGTTGGGTAGTTGGTGTTGTTGAAGATCCATTATATAATTGCATGTTTCTTCAATGAAACCTAATTACTCTTTCTATATTCAAAATAGATCGTTTGGTTAATTAAATAAAGTATCAGTAAGTAGATCAAGAGAAAGAAACTTAATTATCCCCTTAAACAAAAGCTAAGGTTTTGTTTTGGAAAAAAAAAAGTCAATATATATCAACGAGACCTCTTAGTCAACAACATATCTAATGACTTAGTTGTTGACAGAGCATAATAGCGTCGTATGATTCATGTAGCTGACCCAATTTAGTGTGATAAGACTTGTTGTTGTTGTTGTTGTATCCTGGTGGGATTTTTTAGTCTTAGACGACGTGCGCGTGTAGGAAGCACAGATTAAAAGAAGGGAAAAGTTAGCTGAAACATGTTGAGAGCGTAATTATGAGAGGGAGGGAATTATCTTAGGCCAGACAAAACCTCCAATAACCATGGCTTTAATAATGATTATTCCATCTTTCTTATCCCACAAAATAGATATATAAATAATAATGATTATTCCATCACATTCACAGTGTCTAGTCGAAGTGTCGAACTATGTTTCCCCAACCTCATCCTTTTCTTTTAATTTATTCTTTCTTTAATTAACACAAAATTACAATCATCAATCTGCTTTTACTTCAAGACTCAAATCATGTCCCAACTGAAAATTATTGTTGCTATCTGTAAAGCACTCCATTCTTTCCACCATATCGTTTTTGTGGGTATAGACATTGTGTGTGTGTGTGTACAAAGAGAGATCGTTAATTGTTATGCAAAAAAAAAAAAAAAAAACAGGGATAGTTAATTTCACAATTAACTTTTACCATTTGCCAACAAAAGTTTGATGTAATAGAAGGGATCATTACTCCCTCACAATGTGATAATATGGCAAATCACGATTTGAGTATTTATTAAAAATGTACTCACAGTTAGTATTAGACAGTACTTCAAATAAAATTCTCTTTAAAATAAGAATATCTGCGACTAACACTTTAGCCGATTGATAAACATGGCACTGTAACACTAACAAGCTTATAATGTTAGTTTGTTCACAATATTAGAAGATACTACTAAAAAAAGTTTGACTCTAAAAAAAAAAAAAGTCCCTATGACGCGACAAATTAAAGTTGCAATTTCTATTGAAAAAGATATGCATATTTAATATGCTTGACAATATCTTAAATAAGATATATTTTGCTTTATTACATTACTAAACATTTACCTGAAAATAATTTATAAATTTTTTTCACATAGTTGGTTTATTTGCATCTAACTCGTTCGCAGAGTACCGCAATTATCAAATAAGAATTAAAATTCATAAAAGCTATAATACATGTATAAATTTTATTCTCTTTTAGATAATTATGAACTATATTTTATATATTCAAGCTATTAATGTAATGATAAAAATTAAAAACCGCACAAACAAATTGGATATTTGATTATTATGCTGACTTGGTGTGATTTGAAGTAATTAACTTTTGTAGTTAATGCTGCTTTCGGTGGATGTCATTCAATTAGTCAAGTAATCCTTCTTATTTATTAACTGGCCTCATGTCAAGAACATGCTTTGATGATTAGTTTCAAGAGATCATCATAACAAAGGACATAAATATAAACTAGTACTAATAAAAAAAAATTTATTCAGCCACAATTAAAACTTTAATCGTGTGGTGTTTGATCCATCCATGTATACATAATGAGATTATTAATTCCTTATAAAAAAAATATTGTTAGATTAATTTTATAGTTCTTTTTTGGGTACAACTGGTTTCCACTTAATCCTCAAACCCAAATCAGAACACCTTAATTAGGTTGGAAATTATACTAAACATTGTAAAATAAAGAGTTGTTGTTATAGAAATGTGGTAATAATTACCAGTACGCGCCCAATAATTAATCATATTCCTCACTCTAAATTTATCACTAGTTGCCAATATTTATCTTCTTTTTTTGTCCCAATCTATCTATTTCTCATGCCATTATTTGCCATTAAGGCAATTTTCAAAAGTCCTAGATTTTCAGGGACGCATTTTTTAAATACGAAAGAATTTAAGTATAAAATGTCAACAAAAAACTTATGAACGAGATTAATTAATTAATTAGTATGTTAATATTGTGATGGATCATATGAACTACCTAATAAAAGCCAGACCCCAAGAGAACAAGATAGTGATCTTTTCGTGGAATTTATAAACAAAGAGTAACCTATGGGGCCAAACCAATCTTATTTATACAAACATAACTTTTCTTCCATTCTCATGAAGTTTAAATCCTGATTATTTCCATCGCAAGGTTTGTATTTTGAACTCTCCCTCTCTCTCTCCCTGTGATCATTTGCTTCTTAATCATTAATTATGTGGTCATTTTTCATATGATTCTGCTGTTTAATTCTTAAGCTCGATCCATTCCATTGTAGGCAAATTGCTTCAATTCTTTTTTTTTCCCCCTTTCTTTGCTCCCTTCAGTAATGTGATTTCTTTATGAATTTGAATGCTAAAAGTTTATATATTCTTCAACAGTCTTCTTTCTATATAATTGATTGGATGCTTGAAATTTTATGGAATGACAAATATGTAGTTTAATTTGAGGTGATATATTATGGATTACAAAAAAACGTATAATTAATTAATAAAAAAACTATACTAGCCGGTTTCTTTCATTTTGTTCTTCTTTTTTTTTCCTACAACAGTTTTAAAACTTGCAATTAGTTGGCGATTCCTTGTTCTCAATTTCAAGAGAATATAAATCTCCGACATGATTTTGAATTTGAAAGTTGAGATTTAAAGTGAGCATAAAATACTGATTATATTTATTTACTACTTAATTAAAAGAGATATTATGAATATTTTGCAAAAGATCGATAACGCATCATGATAAATTCAGTACAATATTTAAATGTTAAATTCACAGTACAACAGGATCGAAGACTGGGATTCAGTAATTTCTTTGATAACATAGAGTGCTTTATGTCTTCTTAGAGTTAAAAAGCGTTCTTTAATTGAGTTCTATGGTCGACCGAGAATGTCCATGCCAAAAAAAAAAAAAAAACAACTATTACACACGCACACCAAAATAATGAAATATAGAATGTTAGAAAGATAAAATATGCATAGCCATTTTTAAGAGATCATCTGAAACTATGTAGTCATTTTTAAAAAATAATTAAGATTATATGTTAGGAAAGCATGTGGGGTTTTTTTCCCTTGACTACTGGGTGTATTTAATAAATAATTGCATAGTATACATAAGAGTGAAAACAGACCTCCCGAGAGAAAAAAGAAGATTTCATACACACACATAAATATACATTATATATATTATTCATAATAGGCATGAACATCTTCCTAAATGGAGAAAGGTTTAGCGTTCGATCCCAAGTAAAATTTGTGTGGTGCGTCTTTGTATGTGCATGTGACCAGCTGTCCCAAGGATTATATACATATATATATATATATATAAAGAAAATTAATCGATAGGTTCCTATAAGTTTCACTTGATTTTATATGACTTTATAATCTTACACAAATCTATCTATATTTCCACAATAAATCTCAATTGGATTGATTTATATCATATCACATATTTATATGTTTTGTGGTACTGTGGATTTGAAAGTTATATATATATATATATATATATATATATGTATTGCCATTATTGATGTTGTTGACATATCACATATGAGCAGATCAGATATATCAATTGCAATGCAAGGGAATAAGAATGAGACACATGCAGCATGTGCAGCATGCAAGCACCAGAGAAAGAAGTGCAGTATGCACTGCGCGTTGGCACCTTATTTTCCAGCAAACAGAAACAGAGAATTCCAAGCAGTCCACAAAGTGTTCGGAGTGAGCAACATCACCAAGTTAGTGAAATACGTGAAAGAAGAGCATCGAAGAAAGGTGGTGGAGTCACTGATATGGGAAGCTTTCTGCAGACAACAAGATCCAATTCTGGGTTCTTACGGACAGTACAAGAAGGTTTATGATCAGTACACCAAACTGCTGCAACAGTTCCATCATCATCATCACAATAATATTACTAATGTGCCAAAAGATCACCTTCATCATCAGTTACCATCTTCTCATAATCATCAGAGTCAGAATCATCAGGTGATGATTAATAATAATGGAGAGAGATCATCGGTGGAGGATGGGTTAGAGTTCATTCATCATCAGGATTATTCTCATAAGAACAACATGATTCTGGATTCTGCTTTGTATGGATTAGACTTTTCACAGTTCGATGGTTTCAAGTCTGAAGTTGTCCTCAATCAGTTCCAACAACACCATCCGCCTTACTATTGTTCGTCAGGTAACCATCCATATGAATATCTTTTCTTTTTCACACACATATATGTATAACTAAATTAGTTAAAATCATTTTCACCAAAAAAAAAAAATTAGTTAAAATCAACTTGATTAGGTATCTATGAATCTATTAACTTTGAGTTTATAAAATCTAGAAGAAACTATAAATATAAGACCATATTTGACTTTTATTTTAGTTCTAAATATAAGACCCCAATCCACTTTGTCTCTCATATTTACTTAATTTTTTCCAAGATAGTCCTTCTCATAATTATAGTTCTAGTTAATACACTTGACTAGTAAGGATATTTTAGGAAAGACAACACTTATTTAGGACAAATAACTAAGTCAACTTACTTCCTTAATTTTCTCAAATTATTCAACTGGCTCTCATAATTAGTACCGGAGGTAGTATGTACGTATATTGATCATCTTATTTAAGAGGACGACAAATTAAACGGACCACCATATTAGTACAAACAAAATTGAAGTTGACGTGTACATGTGTTGGCTTATTTAGCGCAGGTCATCAAAACGATGCATTTATTTTAAATGTTATTAACTTGTCTAATTTTGAAATTTAAATATTCGTTTACAAGTTATAGGTAATCCATCATATATATACTTTGTCTAACGCAGCATAAAATACATTTTAAAATATAAATTTTCTAACAAGTCATATTATTTACAATTTATAAATACTACTGCAATTCGTTTACCATGTCTTATGTGATATATTGAAATGCTTGTCAGCAATTTTTTGAAATATTACAGCGTATATTAACATCTATATGTGTGTGTGTATTTGTAATTCAACTACTATATATATATATATATATATATTTTTGGGTACAATTCAACTGCTATATATTTACTTAGTACGATTCGCACATGGTGAATGAATTTGAAAATTTTCATTGCAAAAATAATATTCCTTGTTTTACTTTAATCTAGTTTAATGGTTCCTTTTTAATCAATAATGATGCCAATTAACTTAGTTTGAAATATGTGTTTTCCAAAAATTTTATGTGGATTTGTGATCGAGGAGATAATTATCCTATTTATAGCTTACGCGCACTGCCATACATGCAACACATTTTATATGTTATTTTTATTAATAATTTGATAATAATGGTTTCCAATATACAGTGAATTAATAGTCACTTGGTGATCGAGTTTTCACATAGCAACAGAAATCATATGTAAACCTTTTTTTAAAAACAAAAAAATAAAACGCAAAGAAAGTATTAGATGACGAACGATATACTGAATATGTTATGATAAAATTGTTGGTTTCTTGCTTGTGACATTTTTTTTTCTAATCTTATATCCTAACTCTATTTTTGTTCTTATTATGATTTTAATTTTACTGTGTAGGTCAGCAGTTCAAATAAATGTATACCAATTTGAAGGCCATAACGCAATCTAGTGTCTTATTCCATTCAGCAACACAAATGAAAGAACGTGCTCAACTTTGCCAAATTCTTTCACACTCCATAGGTGTTATATTCATAATTTTATGTTTAACTAATGATTTCCAGTTTCTGCTACCTCTACAATATTGCTGTTGAAGGCAAAATATCAATGTGTACATCTCAATTTGATAATTATCATCGTTTCATATACATCTTAATTTTAATATCGATGTGAAGTAATATTTGGCAGAATCTTAATGTGTGGCAACCAATTTAATTAATTTTTTAATATTTTTAAATTAGTTATCTAACTTTTATATTAAAAAGAGGTAGAATATACTTTTGGTTGGAAAAGAATCTTAGAAGGTATTTAAATGGAATCAAAACCATGGTTTTAAAAGTACTTTTACGGTATATGAAGAAAATGTTTGGGTGGAAACAAACTATGATTTTAAAAGTATTTTTATAATATATAAAGTAAATATGTAGAGGAGTTTATCTCGATTTACGAAAAAATTTTTGGAATTACCCAAACATCTCTTAAATAAATATATAGAGAAATTTATCTCGATTTGAAAAAAAGTGCCTTCTACTGCCCAAACACCCCCTCAATGTTAATGATGATGGCCAATAACGCTAAAGCAACCCCACGCCAATATGGTACTAAACCTTTTATCATGAAGATGATTATGACCTAATGCCTACCACTAGCTTAGAGCTATCGCTGTTTTCCCCCACGTTAACATGTCACGTCCAAAGTCCATGGCCATAAATTATGTCATGGGCAATCTTAACAAGTTTTTGGTGGCAGATATAATCCAAAATTAAACATCATTGAGAGAGAAGAAATCTATATATTTACATCTATTATAAAAATTTTAACAAGTTATGCTGAGTTATATGAATAATAATCCTTTTTGTTTCTCATATTCTTATCCATAAGTCATTACTATGAAGTCTATAAAAATTAATTTTTTTAATATTATCCTTAATAGGGGATATTGTTGAGTAATTACATGAAAAAAGAGGGATTTGAGAAATAAGAAGACGCCATATAAACGTAAAAATATTTTGAGGGAGCTATCCCTGCCCAGTTGAGCCAATAAATAAAATAAATAAATTCGCAAAATAATGCCTTTCAGATTGAGCCCAAAAACTCCGGCTATTGAGAGGGGAAAAAAAAGGGAAAAGACAGATTCATCCCAGTAAAATCTGGGCTGATGATTGTCTTGGGTCCGTGGAAGTGAACGGACAGAGTCGACGGATGGAAGCATCCGGCTGACGGAGATAAACCAAGGGGAGGAACAGTAGCAGAGCTGATCCGATAGACTGCGTCTGCAAAGCTTGACGTCTCTATATCTCTATAGTTGGTGACTGAGCCTGATTCCCTTTCCTTCGTTTTTCTTCTTTCTTTCAATCTTACGCCACTTAACAATTCCCTCCATTTTGATTGATGCTATCAGATGTCCTCTTTGCAGATGATCTCTTTATCATTTATGTACACAAAACTCTGAAGTGGGGGAGGAGAGTGGAGCATGATGTTGACCGAAACTGAGGAGTCATATGACTTGCTTTACTAGGTAGTTTTCTCCTCCATTCCCTTGGGTAGAATTTCCATACATATAGTTAAGATTACTGCTTTTTATTTCCCCCTTCTTCCATCACTTTTTGTGAGTTTGAAACAGGGGATTGAATGTGATTTTTTATTGGTGAATTTGTTGCTTTGATGACCTTTTGTACCTTGATTCATGCTTGCATGTTAGTTTGGGAAAAGGCTTGAGTACGAGGATGCCTACTTCATGATAGATGTTACAAAGTGTACACCAAGTGTTTGATGAAATGCTTGAAAGAAAAGGAGAGCCATAATTGAAATATATATCCAGCCGTTAAAATTACGACCTTAATTTGACTTTGATTTGTATGGCTTGGAACTTCGTTATTGGCATGCAAATATAAGAGAGATGTTCATTAAGCTTTATTAGGATTACCAGATGAGAGTCAAGCTGTATTGTCTCTTTTTGCATGCCATATTTATCCATTCCGTCTGCTCTCTTCTGCATATCGGCCGACACAAGTATTTCTCTGACAACACTGAAAATTTTATCTTTGTTATGGCACAGGCTGCTTCAGTACTTTGTTAGTCTATCAGGGATGGTGATTGGAACAACTAGGCACTATAAACTTTTTTTTCATTTCAGTCCTCTTATAAAGCAACGTCATTACATTCACTCAGCTTTATCATCACAAAAGCTTGAGCAGGTTGTTAGAGCTGAAGTAGAAGCCAAAAACTATGAGAAAATTCCCGACCTTCTCATTTCCTCGGAGTCCTGTCCAAGTCCAAGTCCAAATCCAAATCCTTTTTCTTTCTTCTCTTCATTTCCCCAAAACTTGAGAGTGCAAATTATTGATGAAATGTTGCAATCATTCATACCTCTTAGACCTCGCTCTAAGCCTCAGATAGCCTATTCATATCTTCTTTCCTATACCCTTGAAAGCTCTGATCCCTTCCCTCTTGCTCTTGCCATTATACAACGGACTCTTCGTTCTGGTTGCATTCCTGTTCCTCAAACCCATCTTCTCCTCACATCTGCTTGGTTGAACAAACGACAGCAAAGTCATTCCGTTTCTAGCATTTTACTTGAGATGCAGTCAATCAGATATGAACCCGACTGCAATACTTGTAATTATCTACTATCATCACTATGTGCTGTTGATCAGTGGATGGAGGCAGTTAAAGTTCTGAAAGGCATGAGTGGAGCAGGATGCTTTCCTGATCAAGAGAGTTATGCCATTGTGATTAGAGCAACGTGCAGAGTAAGAAGGACTACTGAGGCACTGGATCTGATGAAGCAAATGGTGGGTAGATGCAGGTTGAGCCCAGGACAGGGAGCACTGATGAAATTGTTGGCAGCATTACGGGCAAATAGGGAAATATGGAAAGCAGTTGAGATGATTGAGTTCCTGGAGAATGAGGGTTACACTGTCGGATTTGAGATCTACGAGATGGTGATCGAAGGGTGCTTGGAGAAAGCCGAGTACCTTTTGGCTGGAAAGGTTGCAATGAGGATGACAGAAAGAGGTTTCATACCATATATCAAGGTCAGGCATAAGATAATTGAAGGCTTGGCTAGTGCTGGTGAGTGGAAGATAGCTTGTGCTGTGAGGCAAAGATTTGCATCACTTGGATCTTAGCAGCCAAATTGCTAATGAAGTAGGCTACACTGACATATTATTGCCTAAGAGGGTACGTATATGTTACAGAGACTGCGGCATCTACACTTCTATTCTCATTTTTTCCCCCAGTTGAAGACACCTTTTGTAAGATAATCATACACTTTTATGTAGAGAAGCGGTACAATACTGAGATTTTGTAAAATATGTTGGGGACTGAAAGTCTTAAAAGCGGAAATAGAGTGAGGATAGTACATCGCACATTTGGGTAGGATTTAAACTCTGAGAATGACTCAATAAGTGTGAACAAAATAGGTCAGATTCAGCCAGATTAACCTAAGGCTTGCTTATTTGTGATCGTTGGTGGAGTAAGCATCTTTGAAACAAAGCACATTCCAAATTTTTATCCACCAGACAAGTTAATGAACATAGCATAAGGCATGGCTTTAAATCTTGAAGCTCAAATCTGGCAGTAATACGACATGTTTTCATAAGAACATGCAGTCGTTGTTGGAATGTTGAGAAATTCGGATTGGAACCAATTAATGCACTTGGGGGAAAAAACGTTTTCGTTAACTTACAAGATCAGTCAATTTGTGAAATTAGCCAAAATTGGCTTGAATTATTCCTTTCCTTCCATCACGAAGGGTGATGTTGTCAGTTAAAGTGAAAATGAAAAGTTTGGATATTAAATATTGAAATGATAAAGAAATATTAACAAAATTTAATTATTTAATTAATAATTCTATGGTGAAACATTTGAGAAGTTATTTTTAAATTGAAAAGTAAAAAATATCATTTAAAATTTAATAAAATTGAGTGAATTTTCTTAATTCTTACATTATATTACTTTACTATTTAATGTTAGAATAACGAATAACGTTAACCAAGTACTTTGACTCTGAAGAGAGATTTTCTTAGTAGATAAACTATGATGAAAAAAATATGATTTCTCTACATGTATTTTTCTGACAATAAAAACCTACATATATTTTATTTCTCTCATTTTTTTCCTTTTCTTTTTATTTTCTGCACAACTTCGCACATAATTCTTTGAACTATGCTCTCTTTCAACTTTTTTATTACTTTCTATATTTAGTTTTTTTTTAAGTTATCAAAACTAGTCAGGTTGTTTTATGGAAAAATGAAAGTTCAACGAAATTCAATCGTTTTTTGTATAGACTATTTTTGTGAATTAATTCTAACAATATTTTATCCCACCCATGGTAGTTTTGACTTTTGCGGACATGGCTATATTAAGAAATAAAAATTAAAAAGAATAAAAAGAGGTCATGGAGAAGAAAGGATTATCAGTTCGTTTTCAGTTTCTCCTCCTTCTCGCGATGATCTCGGGGCCTCCTCCTTCCCCTAGCATTCCTTTTTAATTCCGAGGGGATATTTTTCCAATGCGTCGTTCATAGTTTTGGATAAACATTTTTCATTTCTCTTCCATCGTTCATGCTCAAACGCATATAGGAACATAGCTATCTTTCAGGGTTCTGTTGGATTTTGCAGACTTTGTGTTTGTGTTAGCGTCTTGGAAGGAGAGGAACAGTGTTTCCATGGCACAATTACCTCCCAAGATCCCAAACACGACGCTATGTTGGTCTGACCTCTCTGATTCTTCCCCACCGAACATGCCTTACGTGGCAAGTTTCTCACCCGATGTTGCCGCCGCCGCAACTCGGGACCCACTTTGGGCGGATGAATTCCACGACTTCTCGTCGGAGAGACGCCAGGCCCATCGCCGGTCGGTGAGCGATTCCATTGGCTTCTTCGAGGCTCCCATGTTGCTGGAGGATTGTCATGTTAATTCTAGGAATGCCCGGCCCAGGCTTGAGGCTGAGCACGAGTTTGACAGGTTTGGTGATGAGAAATTCATGTCCCCGTTCAATGATGACTTATCTGGGGCTGCCATGCCTCTAACCTTTTCCTCTTCAAAATCTTCAAGCCCATCTGATCACAACAGCATTAATGATGAGAAAGAAATCACGAACCAAGTCCAACAACAACAAAACCTGCACAAGCAGAACGAAGAAGATCAGCCGAAGCAATTGAAAAGTGAATCCCATGAGGTTCAAAACCATATAAGCAAACAGCAGGAAACACAACCTTCAAATAATAAATTAGCAACTCCTTCCTCTGACAAGATCACTGATCCTAAGAGGGTCAAAAGGTAATTAATCATGCATTTATAATAGACACTGATATGCCGTTTTGAATGATTTTGCCATCATTTCAATCAATGGGAAGCGGTGTTTTGCATCATTATTTGCGCATTATTTCAGATTGCATGTCTCATCCGCCCCCTAATTTTGGTTTTGCATCAGAATCTTGGCAAATAGGCAATCTGCACAAAGATCACGAGTGAGAAAGCTGCAATATATAATCGAGCTAGAGCGTAGTGTAACTTCATTACAGGTACAATTAATTGCGACGTCTTAAATTTTAGTTATTTTTATACGGCATGGTTTGATATTTAATAGTATATAGTGGTCTTGACTTCTCTCGTTCTGTCAAAAATTGAAGGCCGAAGTATCAGTGCTGTCTCCAAGGGTTGCATTTTTAGATCAGCAACGCTTGCTTCTAAATGTTGACAATGGTGCTCTTAAGCAACGATTAGCTGCCCTCGCTCAGGACAAGATCTTTAAAGATGGTATTTCTTTTGACTCTCCGACTTTACTTTTTCTTATTGAATTATCAAATGGCTAAGTAATGAACTACTTATTCAGTTAAGAGCTAGAGTTTCTTGTATTTTATATAGCTAACCAATAACCATGCTCTTTAGAATGAAGCTGAAAGGATTATGCATGTATGAATGAATCTAAATGTTTTTGTCCTTCTTTAATGTGCGAGGATAAGTAAAAGATTCTGTACTGTTTAGGGAGGCACAGTGCTGTTACATTCATCAGAACAGGACAAAGCTGAAATGGCAGAAGGAAAATAATAGAATGAACCGATAATTCATTGTACAACAAGCTCCCTGGAGTTAGATTGAATTTGTAACCTGTAGAAATGATCAATTATAACGATTTTTTTTTTTTTTGGGAAGAAATCATAAAATAGCCAAACTGAAACGAAACATATTCCTATTTTTAATGTCTTTTTATCACAGGAGTTGCATATATAATATCAACCCTTTAAAAAAAGGAATCAACCCGGCTGTAAACATGGACAGGCTTGTACATCATTCAATTAAAATAAAAAGAAGTGCATATTTTAGCTCCCTTCTGCATAGTATATTCTTGTTACAAAAAACTTGATAACCAAATCTCATCCAAGTTGAAATTGCTCAGCCAAACAGTTTCCTACGTTCTAATGATGTATATGCATGCAGCTCTTCAAGATGCACTTAAGAGGGAGATAGAGAGGCTTAGGCAAGTGTATCACCAACAAAACCACAAGAAATTGGAATATGTTGCAGGTTCAGTATCCCCCTCACCAAATCCACAATGTCATGGTCTGGCTGAAAAGGAACAGCTTCTCAACGAGCTTCTCAACGTTTAAATATTCTCACCACAGCAATGCACTAATGACCACGTAGCGGCGATACTGGTATTCTCGTTATTGTGTATAAGAAACTTCCTAGTCTTGGATCAGAAGGGTGAAAGGAATCAGGAGAGGAAGAAGAAGAATGGGAAGCGATAAATTCTTAGTTACATATTGAGTCTACTAACCAACAGTACAACGAACTAATAGAAAGCTATTATTCCTCACGATAGGTGGCTGTGTAGTATAGGAGAATTTTGCATTCATCAAAAGGAGGGAAGAGAAGGAGAAGAAGCCATGAATATTCTCTTTTGTCACTCTCTTCTGTTGCCATGTTAATGTTTGTTTGGGATCACATTAGGGCGGGGTCAAAACCACACTTTGGCAAAAGCAATCCAAAGGATGCTTCTACCAAAACCACGTTTGAGCTCCTACTTACATGATTCCAAAGATGCCAACAGGATTTCAAAGTAGCAAGGCCATTGTTAGTACTCTTCTGCTGCTATGAAACAGAGCAGTCATGTGATTTGTTTACTTTAGAGAATGGGACCCCTCGCCACAAGTTGGAAGAAACAGGTGTGTTTACTTACGAATGCAAAGGAGGAGTATATGTAATCAATTCTCTTTGTATGTAACCGCTAGGCTTGGATGTAATCACCTTTATTTGACATACTGATTAAGAAAACATGAGAAAGTGTATATAATCAATTCTCTGTGTGTATATAAAAATGATTGTCCTTTCTTATGACCAAGGGTTGAGAGGTTTCTTTAATTGTTATGATTGAATTGGGTATGATCGCTGTGAACTTTTAAAATAAAATGTCAAAGATCCTTTTTTTTTTTTAATAAATGAAGACCACAATCAGATGTTCTTCATGAATCATTATTCTCTACTGCCCTAACTTTTTCAATATGCCAATTGACTTTTGAAAGTCATGCAGAGTTTTGAGCTTCGATTAAGAGTTTACTAGGATTAGATGAGTGCAAAAGTTTTTCAGTAGTAATTAATTATCTACTCTTTAATCCATATTGACATCTCAATAACCACGTATCATAATGCGTACTAATTTATTTTTGTGATTCAATTAGTTTTTAAAGTTGTTTTGCTATTATTTGTTCATATCATGATATCTCCGTACTCGATTTTAACTAATATAATCACATAAAGGTTAGGCTAAATAATTAATAATTCCATTTATGGTAAGCATGCTATATATATATATATATATATATATATATATATCAAACAAATTGACAGTTATCAAGTCTATTGTCAGGGTAAGTAAATATCTTATAGAAGAAGATTGTAATATATTTTTTTATTTCTAAAAAAATCTATTGAGTAATTTGAAATAATATGCGATTTCACTATCTTAGTGGCAACGTATTTTAGATGGCATCCAAAAAAAAAAAAAGATAGCAAGGCACTTTGAATTCTGTTCAAGCAGAATTTCAGCGATTCTGCATGGTCCCTTTTAACATCAGCATATCTTTAGGAAAAATACCGTGATGTTACAATAAAAGATCAAAGAATATAATTAATAAAATATTCCAAAAATAAGTGAGCATTATGAATTTTGCTGTCATTTCATGTATAAAAATTTGTCATTACAAATAAAACTTTTTAATAATTACACTTTTATTAATTATATTCTTATTCATGTATAAAAATTTGCCATGAAACTTTTTAACAATTATATTCTTTCTTTAAAAGGAACAAAATGATTTAAATTTCTATTAAATTATAAGCACTATTCAAAAATTAAGGAATTGAAATTAAAATTTGAAGAACCAAAAACCAAAATAAGAACCTTTTTCCTAAAAATGCAATTTAGTTATGTTCATTGGTTTTATATCAAACGAACTGTGAAATGTCTCGTGCATGCATCGCAAACAGATAGGCACCACCAGATTACCCACTTGAGATAGAGAAAGAAGGCACGATGTTATAAACATTGGAAGGCAAAATCGATGAATATATTTCGAGAAAGCAACTTCATTCAAATTCCTCACGACTACTGATAAGTGAACTAGCACAGTAGAATCAACATGCATTTTAAACTTTACTGCACAATGAACGGAGCTACATGCGCACACAAACAGGGACACATGTAGGGGCTACGTTCGAGTCCAAAATCACATAATTCTTAATCACTGGGGAATGATCATAATATCACATGATCACAAGGAAGAAGTAACTTGTTAAGTTTCCCCTTTACCTCTGGTAAATATAAATCATGGTAAAATTATTTAGAATGGTAACTCCTAGTTGGTATTAGCACATCAACATGCTTTTGATCACTATTTATGGATATGATTCCAATTTTGCTGTATTGCATCTGATTAATGAAGGCTATCATCAACTTCTGTTAGATGATCTTAAAGAATAAAATTCAAGACGGAGAAATTCACACATAATCAAGCCTTACAAAATTTGAACTTGTATAATATCAATTTTCAAGAAGGAGAACTTCAGGCATAACCAAGCCTTGCAAGAATTAGAACTTGTATGCTATCAGTTGCCTCTAATACAATTATTTCAAGAATTTACAAAACAAAACCAAAAAGGAAAAAGAAAAGAAACAGTTGATGTGAAGTTTAAACTCTCAGAATTTAGCAATTTGCAGAGACACCAGGTCAAAATTCTGCCGGTTAAAACTTAAAAAATAAGGAAAGCGTGATCAGTTGATGACAAATGCCATGCAAAGCCTGACGCAGGCAGCATTCCTAGAAATCCAACCCAATCCATACTGCTGATCTTATGAAGTAAAGTGCATAATAAATAACCAAGGGAAATCAGAAGAATAAAGTAAAAAACATCCGACTCATAATGATGCTGATCCGTACTTGAAATAGTATACGTAAGTCTGCTAAATTGAAGTTCCCAAAATGAAACGAGGGAAAGACCATTGCAACAACATGCAATCTGAAACTGCGCTGGAGGAACCTCTAGCGCAGCCTCGCAGATGAAATAAACAAATTTAGATAACACAAAATGAATAATAATTGAAGATATTGAACCATATGCATATATGATAAACATTGCGCATAAATGAACAATCAGAAATTGCCAAAGCTTGTAATCTGGGTCACAAAATCACATGTAAGAAAATTCTGCAGTTTATAGATCCAGCTTAAATAGTAAACTTTGTACACTATGAACAAAGGGACGTTCATTGAACTTTAAACATGAGTTGCTTCTATATGACATGAACGGAAAGGTTAAACCCACCTAAGCTGTTTGTTCTTCACTCGGAGGACATTCTGGAGGATCTTCTTCACTCGGAGGACATTCTGGAGGATCTTCTTCACTCGGAGGACATTCCGGAGGATCTGAAACCTTGCATTTTGCATTCAAATCTTTTACTTGATCTTCAATAACCAGCAACCTATTACCCAGCAACTCAATTCCATTCAGATGATCTTCAAGTTTAGTAATCCAGCCTCCTTCAAAATCTTTCAATTTCTTTTCAATCATCAATCGCTTCATCCTTTGTTCTTCTTCTTGCTTCAGACGTTCCTTTTCCAGTTCCATCACACTCAGAACAAGACCCCCAGACCCAGGTACATCCTTGTAAAGGGGTTCATCAGCTTGTGGACATCGAGCTCTATATTCAGCAAAAGCCTTCTGTGTTTCCTTTAAGGCCTTTCTGTAACCATCCAAGAGGTTTGACATCATATAAAGTTCCTTCTCTAGCCGATATACCTCCATCTGCCTCTTCTGACTCTCATCCATATTTGCTTTGTGCAAATTATCAATCATGCTATTCCGCTTCTGCAGCTCATTCAGCAAGAGTTGTTGATTCATGTTTAAATCTTCACAAGACTGTTCTTTCGCTCCATACATCATTCTAGCTTTGCCCATCCAATGTTCTATTTGCTCCATGCACATCTCAAAGTCAACTGGTTTAGCATTCCATGGGCTGTCACTTCTAAGCCGCTTGTTGGTACCATTTAGAGAATGATGAGAGTTATTATTATCCTGGCCAATATCTCTTTTGTGACCATTATTAAAAAGGGATGTCCCAGAAAGCATTTGACCGTCTTCTCTAGAAGTAAGAAAATCTCCAATAGAATTATCACGAAGTTCAATGCCAGAATTAAAAGGCATTTGTCCTGCTTCCATTGCATGCATGAGACTCCCTGAAGACATTCCCTCCAAAGATATACACTTAGATGGTAGATGGTACCCTCCCTCGTGTTCATCTTCTTCAACCTCCTCTTCCTCCTCCTCCTCCTCCTCTCCCTCATCTTCTCCCCCATCTGGACCTTCTCCCTCTTCCTTCACATCACTGAAACTACATTGCCGCAGAAAGGGCTCACCCACATTATTCTTCCTATCCAAAAGCCACTGTCCAGGTTCCTCTTCCTTAAGCTCCTCGATATCCATGACAATTGAATTGTCCTTCCTATCCAAAAGCCATTGTCTAGGTTCTTTTTCCTTAAACTCCTCAACATTCATGATGTGTTCACCTACATCCTGCTCCTTTTCTACTTCAACCTTTTCAACATTGTCTTGCCCAAGACTCAGTTCAATGTTGTGTTCCTCCAACTCTTGGGCTCGTTGTCCACAGTTAACTCCACCCATTCTGAAATCACTATCATCAACCCCGCCCATTTTCAAATCACCACTCCCATCATCAGCTCCACCCATTTTCAAATCACCACTCCCATCATCAGCTCCTCCCATTTTTGAATCCCCACTCCCATCACCAGCTCTGCCCATTTTTGAATCCCCACTCCCATCACCAGCTCCGCCCATTTTTGAATCCCCACTCCCATCATCAGCTCCACACATTTTTGAATCACCCATCCCATCATCAGCTCCGCCCATTTTTGAATCACCGCTCCCATCCTCAGCTCCGCCCATTTTTGAATCACCACTCCCATCCTCAGCTCCGCCCATTTTCAAATCACTGCCCCCGTCCTCAGCTCTGTCCATTTTCAAATCACCGCACCCATCCTCAGCTCTGCCCATTTTCAAATCACCGCGCCCATCCTCAGCTCCGCCCATTTTCAAATCATCACTGCCATCCTCAGCTCCGCCCATTTTTGTGTGACCACCCCCATCCTCAGCTCCACCCATTTTTGAATCACCATCTCCATCCTCAGCCCTGCCCAATTTCAGATCACCACCACCATCATTGACTCCACCCGATTTTAGATCACCGCCACCATCCTCGACCCCACCCAATTTTGCATAACCACCACCATCCTCTACTCCACCTGATTTTGGATCACCGCCACCATCCTCAGCTCCACCCAATTTCAAATCACCACTCCCATCCTCAACTCCACTCATTTTCAGATCACCACCCCCGTCATCATCTTCTTCCTCTTCCTCTTCCTCGTCCTTCACCCCAATCACCACCTTAGGCTCTTCTCTTAGAAACTCCTCCCGCTGTACCTTAATTAACTGCTGCAAATGTGATGCATAGTAACAATTTACCAACTGTGGGTTTTTCAATTCTTTTTCAACCATCTGCCATATCAATCCCGCCCAATCAACCTTCTCCAAGTGCCCCTCCTTGATCATCTTAGTAAAAGTCAAAACCTCAGTAGGCATAATATAGGCATCCTCATGCAAAAGCATCCAATTTGACACGACTTCTTCAATAAACGATATAGATTCTGCCAAGTCTAGCGTCTCCAAAACATCATCTGTAACAACAGGCTTCTTCACTGGCAACCTCAAAGCACGGCCCAAGTCAGCCCGGTTCACCATAATCCTCATCCCATTCACATAACTGGAACGCGAAGGCGGGGTATAACCGGCAATCAGTTGCGCGACAAGATCGCTCCGAATATTTCTATCGAACTCAATATGAACGAAATCCCACAGCCCAAGTCGCCGCAAGAGCGTCTCATGGCTCGTAAAGTCGAGAGTTTTTACCGGTACAAACGGTATGGGTTTTAGAGTTTCAACGAGTACCTGAAACTTCTCCCGGGACTTCTTTTCCTGAGCAGTCCGCTTGTGCCCCATTCTCTTCCGCTTCGGGCCTCGACGAGCAGATGTTTCAGAGACAGAGACGCTGGTATCAGCATGCCGGGGAGAGAGAACCGAAGTGGCATCTACGTCGTCCCCGTTTTGAGTATCGGTCTGGACTTCCACGAGAGAATCCCGTGGGTTTTCAGATTCTTGAGCAACTTCTTCAGGATTACTCGCATCCTGCTGGGTAAGATTTTCAGGATCTTGATCATCCACAATTAGGGTTTTGGAAGATTGAGAATCAAAATGCATGTTTTGTTGGTCTTCGCATTGTTGATGCCCCACCAAGCTTGGATTTTGGGAGGGCAGCGCATCGTCAGCAATCTGAGGATTTGGACTGCTCATTGTATATCAGTGAAGGCAGAAGAGTGGGCTACTTCAGACTCCAAAACGTCCAAATGAGTTTAGGGTCCGATGCGAGCGAAGACACCGGTGAGCTCAAAATATTGATCGGAGAAGAAATAAGACCCGAAAGTCAATTTTACCCTTGTGACTGGGACCAACTATTGTTCGTTGGTTTTTACCTGCCCAAAAAGCCGAAGCATTGCACTTTACAGTTTGCACTCCCTTTCTTTTGCCATTTCTAGTTTACGCCCCCGTTAAAAGTAAATACAAAAATTAAATGTCTCTTAAATCCCTCAAGTTTATTACTCCCTCTTTTCTTATTATAAATTTCAAATAACTAATTTATAAATAATAAATTATTAATTAAAATTAATTTAAAATAATAAATATGTTAGAAATATAGTTTTATTTTTAAATATGTCATTATAATAATAAAAAAATAATGAAAAAGAATGTTTAAAAAATATAATAAAAAAGAGTATGATAAATAAGACAGAATAAATAATTAAAGATAAAATTTTAAAAAAAATTTTAAATCTTAAGGCAAATCTCAAATTGAAACTTATAAAATAAATATAATTTTATTTAAATTTGAAACTTATAAATAGAATCGAAGGAATATATATCACACATATCCATCTATTTAATCTTTAAGATTTGAGTACAATTCTTTGAATATATGATGCTCCACTGGTTCTATTTATAAGGCAAAAATAAGTTTTTTTTGTCCTATTTATAAGTCACTTCATTAAATTTTTAGTATGAATGTAATATTTTGTTCCTTATTTATTATAGTACAGATAGTTATATTTTTTAAAGGTGTATGTACTAAATACGAATAAAGTTGAAAAGTTGTTATATTTTAATGGAAAGTCAATGCAATTTAATTTTTTGGGCATGTGTGCAACATACTAGAAGTACCTTATAAATAGGACCAAAGAAGTATCTAATACTACCTCCAGTCCTATATATAAACTTCAAATTTAGATAGAGGTGTGGTCTATTTTATAGGTTTTAATTTGGGTTTGTCTTAATATTTAATACACTTTTTCTAATGTTACCTCTAATTATTTCTCTCTTATCACATTTTCCCACATATTTTTTCCATTTTTTTTAATTTCTTACTTATTATAAGGGCATATTTAAAAACAAAAATATATTTCTAACATATCTACTGTTTTAACTAATTTTAACTACTTGTTCATTATTCGTGAATTAATTATTTGAAGCTCGTAATAAGGACCAGAGGGAGTAATTTCAAATACATATACTACCTCCGAACTAATTATAAGAGCTAGCTGACTAATTTAAGGAGATTAAGAAAATAAGTTAAGTTAGTTATTTGTAATAAATAGGTATTGTCTTTCCAAAAATATTCTTGCTAAGCAAAGGTGTTGATGAGAACTATCATTATTAGAAATATTATCTTGGAAAAAAATGCATGAGTATTAGAGACAAAATGGATTGGGATCTTATATTTAAAATCAAAATAAAAATCAAATGAGATCATATATTAAGAACCGGATGTAGTGTGATATAACTATTAATTTGAGAATAACAATTAGTTATAAATGGCAAGCACGGCATCAAATAAGGTATAATATTGTAGGTGAAATTTTAGGGATTGAATTAATAAAAATTAAATTTCAGAGATCAAATTAACAAGTAAGACAAACTTTACAACCAAAAGTTTCATTATCCCAAAATTAAATTAAAAGCCTTAAAAACAAAAACTATTTAATATTTACTCTGATTTTAATTTACATTTTTTAATTAAATAAAATAAAGCATAGACAAAGTTATTCAAATTTAATATTTAAAATAATTTTTATCAATTCAAGTAATATTAATTAGTTGATGGTAGAGTATAGTTTCCCTAACATTGGATAAATAAAATATATTGACAAAAATACTCATGAGATAGACAAGTAAAAAATATTAACTGTCGCTTTCTTACAGAATTGTCATGCTTTCATGACTTTAATTTTTAAAAATTCGAAATACGTAAAAGTCCAGATATTCTCAATCAAAGGGTGAAAAGTCATTTGCTTTGGTTAAAAACAGGGCATGATTTTTTTCAGACACATCTAAATAGATATTCTTAAAAATTTATATCACGGAGGGATCAATAGGGGGGTTGAGAAGATTAAAAATTAAAATATTAAGGGAAAATTGCAAAAAAAGACATTGGAATTGTAAAAACGCAGATAGGGACCCTTGACAACTTCACTTTAGGTTTTGACAAGAATAATATGCCCTGAAGTTGTCAAAACCCAAAGTGAAGTTGTCAAGGGTCCCTATCTGCGTTTTTGCAATTCCAAGGTCTTTTTTTGCAATTTCCCCAAATATTAATGTCAAAACTTATTTTGAAAATGTGCTCATTTTTTTTCACTTATTTTTACATTCTTAGAAGATGTATTATTTCAAATTTTTTAGAGGAAAAAACGGAGCTAGTGCCCAGATTCTCTATTTCTTTTAGTCAGGCCCATATTCGAACACATTAGAGTAAGAGCCTAATCCGTGATCAAATCTGAATAATATGAAAACAATTAAAATTAATAATGAAAATTAAACTTTTGCTATCAATTTCACTTCAGCTAGACACCTTTTCTCATACATCACAAGCAATCTGAGATAAGTCATACTATTTCTTGAGTTACGAATGACGCAAGTTATTGGAGATTTTATATTTCAGATTGACATTGAGATTGAATACTTAATAATTTATTAATTTAATGGTTACTTAATAATTTATTAATTTCATGGTTCTTACACAGTCTCGATGACGATGTCCCCAAGTTTTAGAAGTCTTACATAATAGCTTCTCTTATTTGTCTAATATATTTGCGCAAGACCATGCACACAAGCTATATTACATTTTGCTTGCACCATCACACCAAGCAACCTCCTCATTGCTTACCAGTTTTGTATAGCGAAACTTGTCTGCATAATCTTTCTTTGAAAAATTACTTCGATGAGAGAAACTAAGAGAAAATGTCTCAATTGTACTATCCAAAGGAAAAAACATAGCATATCCCCTTAAACCATGTTCCCGCGTAGCGTATTATAACTCCACGATTTGCTAACTTTGTTTCTTGAGGGAGACATTTCCTATGCTTCATCACATCGCCTTCTTCTTCTCCACACAAGGACCTAAACACGATGGTATATATAAGAAGACGTATAGGAAGACACAGAATGAATTTCAAGCATTGATTTGAAGAAGTGATAATACAAGCCAAACCATAAGGAATAATAACAATGGGGTGGAAGATCTCATTCATTTGTCTTGTCATCTTGCTCATCCTACCAAGGTTCATTTTTGGTCGACCTATCATCAACCAAGAAGCCTTAGAGGTGGTTTCTGATGGAGTGCAAGATCAAAAGGAATCAACTAATCTTATATATCTGAAGCAGAAGTTGGTTTCAGCGGATACCTGCACAGAACCATATGGGTTTCTTCCATGCACCAACACTGTTCTTGGCAACGTGTTTCTGGTTCTTGTCTATAGCTACTTGATGTTTATGGTAGCCAAGTTAATGTCATGTGGCAGTGAGGTTTTGCTACAGATTCTTGGGCCTGGTCTTGTCGGTGGTCTCTTCCTTCCTGTCTTGAGCTCACTTCCTGATGCAGCTATCATTCTTGGTAAGCTTCTTTCTGCATTAACATCTATTTGTGACTTGTTCACTGGAGGCTTGTAAATTTTTCAGCCATCTAGGATTTTTTTTTTTTTTTTGAGTTATAGTTCAGAAATCACAAGCTATTTTCAAATTATTGATAACCGGACGGTGTTCTGCATTATTTATAGATCCTTCCTTTATCCTTGTTTACCTACTGCGAGATACGGGTTGCAACTTCAGGCCTCATTGTTGTTAAATGAAATCCGTCTAACAAATATAGTTTCCAAGTCCTAACATTCAAACTGTGACATAAAAACTGGAAAGGAGACTGCATTACCAAAAAAAAAAAATCCAAGGTGTCTGTGCATAATATGAAATATATTTATGACACAGAAGTTTGACATGTGTTAGGCAAATACATGACTAATTTCTGGAAATGTCCGAGCTTCAAATTGTAAGAAGTGAAAGGCTTTTTTCCAGCAGATAGCTTCTTCTTCTTCTTCTTCTTCTATCTGTAAATTATAATGAATACCAGGGTAACAATTGGAGTTTGAAAGGTAATGTTAACACTGATTTTTGTTGTTTCATCAGCATCTGGGCTATCCGGAAGCAAAGAAACTGCTCAAACTCAAGTCTCTGTTGGGATGGGCTTATTAGCTGGATCAACTGTAATGCTTCTGACTTTACTATGGGGCTCTTGTCTTATTGTCGGAAAGTGTGACATTGAAAACTCAGTGGCAATAGATCGGAAAGACACTAAAGCCTTTAGCTTAACTGGTATATCCCTATCATCATCTATTTGCTTTCAGATGATTCGATGCTTATTATTATCCGAGCAACAGAGCAAGCATGTTTAAAGTGATCCGCTTAAAAATTTCTCAACTATGCCCGTATGTTCCTTCTTATTCATTCTTAATTTTTGTTGATGTCATAGGATCTGGGGTAAGCACCGATATTTGGACCAGGTATGGTGCAAGGATTATGATTGCATCTACTATTCCATTCCTCATTGTCCAATTGCCTCAAGTTCTGCATTCAACATCTTCAAGTCGAACAGCGATTCTACTCTCATTCGTTGTTTCTGTTTCCTTGTTGATTGTTTATAGCCTTTATCAGGTAGCTCCCATCTGTAAATGATTTCCATATTCATATTTCATGGTCACCTTTTCCTTCTAAAATATCTTCTGAGCCAACCATTTTTGCAGACAGCAAATATGATTGAACTTAGTGCTGATGAGATTTTCTGAAACATTCAATGTAGGTTTTTCAACCATGGATTCAAAGAAGAAGGCTTGCATTTGTTAAACATAAGAATTTAATGTCAGGCCTTCTAGAACATCTAAAATCACAAGTTGGAGGAGGAAGATTCCTTAAAGACAATGGTGAACCTAACACCGGGGTTATACAAAAGTGAGTCAGTAAATTCTGTCTTCTATAGTCGCTGCTTGACATTATGAACTTAACAGAAATGATTCCATTGTCTACGTTGAATTGGCAAATTTACAGGGTATTTGAGAGACTTGATGAGAATTCAGATGGATACATAACAGCAAAAGATTTAAGAGCTCTGATTATAGGTATGCGCCTTGAGGAAACAAATATGGAGTTAGACGAAGCTGCGGAAGAAATCATGTTGGATTTTGACAAGTCTCATGACTCAAGAATTGACATAGAAGAGTTTGTCAGAGGAATTACAAGATGGCTTCAGAAAGTGAAGCACTCTGCAAGAAAGGATGAGATGAGTCCCTTAACACCTAAGCTCTTAAACAATTTTCATCAAGTGAGTATCTCATTATATTAATCTCTAACCCTTCTAGAGTGATTTATGACTGTAACTACTATGCTTTTTATTATTTAAACTCTGGGTCCAAACCTAGGTTGTTTTAATTTAGGCATGCTAAATTAAACCAAGTATCCCAATCAACTGAGCTAACACCTGATTGATGACATATCATTCAACTGCAGAAAACAATTGAAGAACAAGATATGTTACTGGGTTGTCAAAGTGATGAGACCATGGGAAATATGAAAAATCCGGGGTGGAACACCTTGAAAGCAGTGCTGATGCTGCTTCTGGGAACTGTAATTGCTGCTGTGTTTGCTGATCCCCTTGTAGATGCAGTGGACAACTTCTCAACAGCCACAAGCATCCCTTCATTTTTTGTGTCATTTCTCATCCTCCCTTTTGCTAGCTCCAGTGAAATTGTCTCTGGTCTTATCTTTGCAAGCCGAAAAAAGATTAGAACAGCATCACTTGCATACTCTGAGGTTTGTTTTCTCCTCTAATCTTGTCTTACATCAAACTACTTGAAGCTTCTTAGAATTAACCTATGAAGCAATAACAAACAAACATGACACTGATGCAGATATATGGGTCAGTGACAATGAGCAACATGCTTTCCCTATCAGTATTCTTGGGTCTGGTTTACATTCGTGGCTTGACATGGAATTTCTCATCTGAGGTGCTCATCATTCTAATTGTCTGCACTACAATGGGTCTCATTGCCAGCTTTCGCACCACCTTCCCTCTTTGGATGAGTTTTGTAGCATTGGCTCTTTATCCCTTCTCTCTATTACTAATATATATTCTTGATTATGCTGTTGGATTGGCTTAAACACTGTCATTGTATCCTCCATTTTGCTTCTTACGCATAGCCTCAGGCTGTAATCGTGTAAAGAAGTTCTGAGGAGATCATTCAGAAAGTTTTGTTTATTTTATATTCCTTGAAACTGCCACTGGGCAGCTAAGAGCCATTGTAAAGAATGATGCAGGCATAGCAGTATAATAACGATACGAGCAAACATTCTACTGTATGGAAGACGACAAAAACAAATTCAATATAACAATAATGGATAACAGATCTGGCATCCCACATGTGCCATATCAGCATAATAATTGGAAATCAAAGGAAAAGAATAGTGGTTTCATTTTAAATAATCCGTAATGATTCTATCATCTTCTTCAAAACAAATTGCTTCCCACTTTTCTTGTCCTGCAAATGGAAAACGCATATTGATGGCTATAACACCTAAGCTTTCACAACTTGCTGTGCTTTACGTTTCTAGGTCTGACCTTTTGCACATTGCAACGTGAACTGCTCAAATTAAATGCAGTAACTCATAATTGAATGAGAATTAATTGCTGGAATGGATTAAGAACAGAGAAACAGTCAGTTTCTGAAAAGAAACGCAAAGGGAAAAAGACAAAAGGTCCAGATGCACCCGTTACTACCACTAAGACACTTGAGTTGCACTGTGTTGAAACTCTGCCAAGATCAGCATTCATCATATCTCTATCTCTGTTTCGCTTTGATTTCTCTTACAGGAAGAAAGTAACGGTCTCATTTTCTGCCATCTCAAAAAGCTTTGGTTTTTTTCCCATCTGAAAACTCTCACATTCCATCCGGCAAAGTTTCTGAAAAATGCTCCAAATCTTCGCTTTCTCGCTACCTTTTTTCCTTTTCCTTATTGCCGTCCCGGCTTTTTCTCCTCCATTTTCCTATGCCAATGTTAGCCAGTCATTGAAAGCGCAAGTAGACGGCGTTCCGCGGCAGGAGCTGTGGTGCGTGGCGAAGAACAACGCCGAGGACACGGCGTTGCAGGCGGCGCTGGACTGGGCCTGTGGAAACGGGGGAGCTGATTGCGGCCCAATACAACAAGGAGGACCCTGCTATGATCCTTCCAGTGTACAGAACACGGCGTCTTATGCTTTCAACGACTACTTCCTTAAACACGGCTTGTCCGATGAGAGTTGCAACTTCAATAACAACGCAGCCATTACTTCCTTGAACCCTAGTTAGTGAAGCTCTCTCTGACTTAATCCGAAATCCCATTAATCTTTCAGTCGTCGTTTAACTTAATTCACCGAATGCTCTGTTTTTCGATGAACTTTCAGGTCATGATAGTTGCAAATTCCCATCCAGGTAATTAAGCTGAAATTGGATAAGGTCATATTTTCAGAGACTATATATATATATATATATATATATATATATTATTGTGTGAATAGTAGGTAGTATCGATGCTTCTTGGCTTTGAGAGTTCGATACACAGTGAAAGTTATGGTCCATGCTTGTGGTGCAGTTTGACGGTGAGCAATGGAAGCATTTCGGGCACAACTTCTTCATCTATGGGACAGGGACCAAGTGAAGCTATAAGTGGCTGTAGTGAGGTTTTCTGGGGTTGGAGGTGGCTGTGGCCTTCGATTACTACACTTCTGCTTATTATGGTTTCACATACTGTTTCATGATGGTAGGAAGTGAAAGGTCTTTTGATGTAAACGAAGGAACTGCAGAGTTTTTCCTTCTTCCCGTCACATAGGCTAGACATGTAGGATCACATGGCGTGTACGAACCCAGATCAGAATTAACAATGTTCTCCTCATATGTTTTAAACTTGAGCTTGTTCTATCTAGTGACTGATTGGTGAGAGCGTCTCAGCTCTTGAAATGCAATATTTCGGAGGTCTTTTCTGTTTTTCGTTAATGTTTTGTGTATATCATACTGACACAGAGTATCCTGAAGCTTCCACCGAGCCCAAGTCACACAGGTCAGGTGTTATTGTTACCTAATGTTTGAAAAGTTGCTCAATGCAGATATAGGGGTAAGTGACCGATAGCCACAATTTTTTTGCTTCAAATTAACTTCAATCCCGTGACATCCTGCATGCAGATTGTTATATTATTTACTTTTCATTTAATCGATGAGAACTTTTTTGTATTATTATCATCTTGCTGTTAAATGCAAGTGATTCCCGTTGAACTCCAAGTATCCTTAACGGAATAAAGACCTAGAGACAATGTACATTGTTGAATAATGATTCTTCATGTTGGGTAGAGATCTGATGAAGCTGTCTAGTGGTTTACCAACCAACGGCGCAAGGCATACACAAAAATGACCTATGGTCTTGAGCTTGCTTTCTTCTTCTTCAGTTTGACTTGCACAGCAGATCTGGTCTGGCATCACAGTATGGGATATCAGATCATCCACATTACTGTTGAGAAGAACGTGCTCTCTCTGTCTTCTCTGGCAGAGATAAGCACTCTCTCTCTCTCTCTTGTCTTAGCCTAATCTTTCTGTTACTGGGGAATCGCTGTGAGGAAGTAAAGGATCAAACCCCTCACAGATTACTAGTCACAGACTCACAGTCCTCTCCTTTTTAAAGAACAGCAAAAAAAAAATCACTTTCTCATGCTTTTTTAGCATTTACGACGAAGGAATTCTTGCACATAGTTAAATATAGTAGTACAGCTGCGCTTTGCTGTTCCCCACTTGAAGAAAAGTCCAAAATCTTGCTGGATGCGCTGGAATTGCTGGGGGCAAGAAAATTGGGTGCTGGACTTCGAATAAAGTCAACAATTTTCACCAATTCAACAAGGTTCAAATGTTTACAGATTCCTCGGAAGCTAGGAATGCAAATAGTTGGGTTCGTAACATCTGTGGCTTTATCAGACATAATATTATGCCTTAATCTGGTCGAAACCTTCAATCTCCAGATAACAAATCCTTAACAAAATCCTATATGTCTAAGAGTGGTTGGAGTGTGAGTCACAACTTTGCAGCAAGTTCTGAAAACAAAATGACATTGGCAGGCACACAGTACGAGTTCACAGACACCATCAGAAACCTTCATTTGGCAAACAATAACTTAGTGGTATATTTTACGTTCATGAATGATTTATACTATATATATATATATATATATATTTATATATCTTCATTCAAAGTGGGACACGATCAAATGAAGTAATCATGGAGCATTCATTTTAACAACAATATCGGATCAAAGATCCAATAGCATGCCGCGTCTTCCAAGAACTGTGTATTGGAATTTGGAAGTTTATAGTAAATGGAAGCTTGGCATCACATGGGCTGCTACCTAATCTGCCTATTTTTAATTTAATTGATCCCCGCAAAAGATAATTATCGTTTGAATTTTGTTGACCAAACACATAGCAAATCATAACGATATCTTTTCATTCAACAAGGTAAGTTGTAAGTAATTTCAATACAAAATCTCTCCTCTTTGACTTTGTTTCAAATTCTTAGCATCATCTCTCCTATCTTTTTCAACCTGAAAAACTCCTTTTACAGTCTAAATTCACAAATTATAATTGTTCTTAAAGATCAATTGTCATTGTCATCATAAAATTCTAAAAATTTCAAAATTAAATTCAACTAGAATTTGATCTTTGAAATTCCATAATGTCGGTGTGCAATCTTTTATTTTTTTTTCCCTAATATTCATATATAATTTAGATTTTTAAAATTTGTCCTTCATAAATTTTGTCAGATTTAAGTAGTTTCAAATAATATCTGCTCCTGCAGTTGTGCTCTGATGACTAATGTACCTTAAAGAGAATTACATTTATACATTTTAACTTGATCGAGAATTGTGTTAAAAATCTTTCGTAAACTGTAAAAATTAATTAAAAGTTCCACGAGACTTTAGAATTTCACTTCCAGATTTTTCTAAAAGAAACAAACATATGATCAAGGTCACTTAAAATTATAATTTAAAACCTAAACGTTTTAATTAATGTTTTCTAATCATAAATTTTATCAAACCAAAAATAAAGCACAAATTTACAGCAAAACATCTGGGTTACATCGAAATGCTTTGTAGTTAAGAGCTAAAACATAATTCTCTCTTTTCTTTTTGTACAATAAGACGTATTACAAAATTGAAACGCATCCATCCTGCCTCTCACTTTTCTTCGTTATGCAATCCCCTCATCACTGGTAACTGCTAAGTTTCCCAAGATGCCCCACAAGAAGATTTATATCGCCAATATGTCCCTCATTTTTTTAACCCAAAAAAGAAAGTATTTATAACCACAAAATCAAATAAGAAATTAAATTTTAAAAAAAAATAGTACCGAGGATGATTTCACTGTCTCTCTAAATCACGAACAAGACTATCATCACCGATAGAGGAGGAAGAAGGAGGTTGGATTCTCCTGGACGATCTTTCTCTGCTTAGCATTCTTCTGAAGGAGCTCAACCTTGAAACTGAACCACTACTTTTAGCTCCACCACCGTCCGATGTACCTTCTGCAGTAGGCTCCACCACCGGCGGAGCTGTGGGCGCGTCGTGAACAGCCGGCTGGACCTGGCGGGCCCCGACCGGACCCTCACGTGGCCGTGGCTCAATCACCGGCCGAGCCATGGTTCGACAAATCGGGCACGTCGAATGAGACTCCAGCCACCGGTCAATACAAGCCACGTGGAACACGTGCTGGCAATTGGGAAGCAGCCTCGCTTCTTCTCCACCCTCCAGATTGCTCAAGCAAACAGAGCATTCCATAACGGAGGAAGAATCGCCACGGCGGCGGTCATCGTTTTCGTTTCTTCTTTTGAAGACGAAGGTGGGAAGAGAGGCAATGACCGTGGGGTCGAGGCCGGTGTTGTTTGGTGGATCGCCAGAGGAGAATCTAGCCACGGCGAGGCTGAGATGGTGGATGGCGGCGCGACGGCGGGCTTGGCGGCGGAGGACATACCTGGCGTAGAGATGAAGGGCGAAGACGAGAACTAAGACGATTGACAAAGAGATAATGGCTATGTACAAGATACTGCTGTTCAAGCTGTTGTGATCGGAGTTCACCGGTCTTCTTGGGAGAGCTGCCGGAAGTTCGAAAGGAATGCTGCCGTCCTGAGGATTATTCATGATGTTGCTCCGAACAGAGATAGAGCTACCCAGAGAAAGGAGGAGGGAGGGAGAGAGATCCTGAGAGAAGTGGCAATGGAGGATGAATGCTTCTCCGCTAGGTTTTTGTATATGTTTTAAGAAGACAATTTCATTGGGACAATTTACCTATGATGGGACGAATAAGTTTTTGAATCTTGACTTTTATTTTAGAGCATTTGTTTATCCTTGATTAGAGGTTTAAAAAAATAACTTTGATTTAAGATGGATAAATACATGTCATCTGCCAATGGCAAAATAAATATGACCCTTTTTTCCTGTAATACTCTAGAGTTTTTGACTGATTTGTGTGTGAGAGAGAGGGAGAGAATATTTGACTATTTGTTATGAATTGGAGTACAAATAGTATTTGGTGGGATTGAAATGAAAATTGAAAAATTAGGAATGGATTATACTTTTGTGTTGAGATTTAATTAGAACCAATGGAAACAAAGATTAATGTTGTTTTTTAAAAAATGGAAAACACCTGTGGGTTGGAAGTGGTTCCTTGGAGGGCGGGGGATTGTATGACTTTTGTGTTTGTGAAACGCGTAGGTGTGAAGGGGAAGAACATGAAGCTGTGACTTTGAGAAGTTTTTCTTTTGTTGTGGCTTGGGATATGACCTTCAAAATATTAATTTAAAAAAAAAAAGTCCTAGTGATTAGCTATTACTTCTTCAGATTAGATTTATTTATAAGTCACAGAATGTGTTTTTTTTTTTTAAGTTTTAGTAAAAATAAAATTGAAAAATTACTAAATTTTGAAACAAAATTAATTAATTATGAGGTTTTTTCTCGATTGTAGTAATCAATACTGGAGGTGCCTTGTACGAGAAAAATTAAATAAGTAATTTATTTTATTAATTACTACAAATCAGATTCTGGAGAGTTGGGGTTTTGGTGACACCATTATTAGTGACAAAGGCAGCTTCTTCACATTTATTTGCCATTAAATGTCCGCAGCTATGACCTCCACATGCTTCTTCCACCGTAGACAAGTTGCCCTCAAAGTCATTCCCTCCTTCCTCTCCAAAATCTGCTTGACCTTTTCCCGTCTTTAAAAGCCCACAACAATAGTAGTAGTAGTAATAATAAAAATTAATATAATCTTTGCCCACTCAAGTTTGTCCTTATTTTGGTTTTAATCTCTCAAGTTTTAAATCATAAATTTTAGTCCTCCTAAAAGTAAAATAGTTGAAGTTTTTATTGGATTAAAAGGACTAATGTTTTAAATGAAAAAAAATTTAAAAGATCAAAACCTATAGTTTAAAACTTGAGGGATTAAAGCTAAAATGAGAGCTAATTTGAAGGACCAAAATTTGTATTAACCCTAATAATAATAATAATAATAATAATAATAATAATATGCTAAACGAATAAATATAATAGAAAAACTACAATTCGAACTCTCCAAGTTACGCACTGATGTGTGGTAATGACACACACACACACACGTATATATAAAGTATTACTGGGGGCAGTTGTTGACTAATGAGAATAATCACTACTAATCGAACTTGAATTTTAAAAATAAAATAGAAGATTAAAAAGAGGTGGTTTATAGTAGTATTATGCGAATAATTATTGACCAGGACAGGCATGAAGACATGTTTATTTATTTGAGAAGTTGCATCGCTCTTAAATATTTGTCTTTCCTTTCACATTTTGTCTTCGTCACCCATCCACATCTTGCCTTATCACCGTTCCATAACAAGTTACCCAAAAAAGCATAACATTACTGTATTTAATATAAAAACTAGTTAGATGTTAAATTTAGTTCTAAATATAAAATTTCAATCCACTTTGTCTTTTAAATTTATAATATTTTCTGCAAAATATTCTTTTTTTTATTTTAAGGAGTTCTTATTAAGAAATAGTTTTAGTACGCATGATTAAACATGGTAGTTTAAAAAAGTTAACACATATTTGTCACAATTAACTGACCTGATTAATTTTTTTTAGTCTCTCTAAATTAATTATTTAGTTTTTATATTAACGACCGGAGATAGTATATTCCTAAGTTGGTATGATTAAATAAAATTAATATTAAGAATTAGTGTCACCATGTCTATGTAAAAACGTTAGTATTAATATTCAAACTAAAATATTTCAACATGTAACATCTTAAAGTCTAGTCTATAATTTTTCTGCAGGAAGCTTGACTTCTTCGGAGTTTTAATCAAGAAAGACAGCGTGTTTACCGCAATATTAGAAAAATGGCGTACTCATTAAGAACAAGGATTTAGAAAGCACATTTGATATTCAAAGTCATCATGATCCAGCTTCTGTTTTCACATATATTCCAAAAACTGAGCAGAATTAATTCAGCTCAGGTTTCACACTTAGAAATATAGTCAGCACCCAGAGAGAGAGAGAGAGAGAGAGAGAGAGAGAGTTCTATTTACCAACTTCGCGAGTTGAGATCAGACACCCATTTCATTATTCATTTAATTTATAATATAAAAAAATGTCAAAATGAGATTAAAGAAAATAAGCAGTTTAATCGAGCAAATGATGAAAATTCCTATAGAAAACCTATTTTCCCCTCTAGATGTTGGAACTGCAGTGTCATTGTTTCAGAATTTTAACGTTATCGTGGAAGGCTGGGATGAAAATGGAGGTATTAGGAAGAGGTCGTTGTCGAGACCATTTCCACGCTTTTAACATTCGGGAAACCATCCTATCACATTATCGTGGCGTAACCACGAAATTGACTTTTTGGCTTCCTTCTCTATTTTCATCATCTTTTTATTCTCGTACATTACGAGTCAATATATTACCTTAACCATGACTTCTAACGTCTTTGTGCATCATAATTTAGTCCTCCTCAACCGACCCTTTTCATATCTCCACCACTTTTCTCGTGTTTTTCATTACTATCTAAAGGGGCAATCACCAGAACGGTTGATCTTTCTTATTACGACATGTGTACATTATGCGACTCTCATAATTTTCTTTTTAAAAAAAAAAAAAATCTCGCGGACGATGCATAGTGTATTTCCTCTTTTACCAATCACCATAAATAGCAAGGATCCTGGTGTTCCCACCTTGTCCATTTTATGATCTACGCAAATAGTGATCTATTATCTAACCATCAAAAAGGTGTTTCCCCAAGAATTTTTCCAGAATTCAAACTCACCAACATATTAAACCCCTCTTTTTAACTTAATCGGACGTATGTGCATATTAAATTAGTTCAAACGAAAGAGTTTTTTTTTTTTTTGGGGGGTGTTGGATATTGAATCCGCCATGTCATTGTATAGGCATTCACCGTAAGGGAGAAAAAAGCATTTCTATTTTCCCAGACAAAAAAAAATTATTTTCCAAGTATATATAATATTTTTCAGTTCTTAATTTCATATCTATACCTTTTTTACCTCCTGGTTAAATCCTTTAATTTCACTATGAACACTCTTAGCTCCTGTAATTTTAATCTGTTAGCACCGTTAATCCCTGTACTAAGCTAACCGTGCACCTGATTCAAACTCTAATTCTTCATGTTGTAGGAAATTAATCATTTCTACTAAATCCGACCCCAAACGGTGGCCTTTCCCTGTTTGATATGGCGTGAAATTAAAATTATGAACTACTCAAGCAGCAATGTCTCGTCACTTGCCGGGTCACCATGATTTGGGCCTTTCGCCCAACATGAAGCACCTCTCTTAATAAGATAGACGAGACTCTTTCGGCCCAAAACGGTAGATGAGACTGAGGCCACGAATGCGAACGCTAAAATCCTGATTTCGTCCGGCGTTCGGTTCATTTCAAACTAGGAAACCAATCATCCTAATTCCTACATCCCTAAATTCTAAATCCATAATGTATTGTCAGCCATGTTAGAATCAAAAAACGCACCTCCGTGATGTCAGTGTTACTTAAACATGCATGAAGCATAACAAGAAATAATGATAAAGACAGATTAATGCTTAACTTACTGCTTCAAGAAGGGTTTGCCAATTGTGGGCCGTTTATGCTGTGTTTTGTTCTATGTTTTCACCTACATAATAGCAGATGATTTCTGATGCATTGTTCTTATCCAACCTTAACAGATGAGTGAGAACTAGAATGTGGGAATCCACCTTCATCGAACCCATCAACTAATTTAAACAAAGGATCATATAAGTGTGCGTGTATTCAGAAGATACCCACTTCATATTAAAATGGCATCAACAATAATGCCTACAATACGCACGAATAATAATGCAAAATCAAAATAAGATAAGATGAACACAATCCACCTTTTAAAGTTGCATGTCTGGTTCAAAACGCTCCTCCTGCATGAGAGGATTTATTAATATGACAAATTTAACAACAGAAAATCTGTTATTTTAACCTCCGCTCAAATCTCTAAGCAGTTCTCACTTTGCTTCCCCCCCCCCAAAAAAAAAAAATATATATATATATATATATATATATAAATATGTATGTATACCTGCTAGAAACATTCAAGTAAGCGGTGAGTATTGAAAAAGATAATAATAAGCAAAGACTCGAACACGTTTCCAAGTAATTTGTTTGTTCTGAGTGGGTAATGTGACGTGCAGTTTATAACTTATAATTTACTGTAGATTTTATATTTAATGCTGTAATGTTGATATTGATACCATATCATTTCATATTTGGAAGAATGTTTTAGACCAATTATGTGATTAAACCACTGCAATGTGTTGTATCAAGGGGGAAAAAAAATGAAACTACTGTATGTGCATATTAAATCTACAACACACTTTCGGGGGTACCCAGTTGAGTACAGAAAAAATGGCTGCTCAGTATTCACAGGATGAGATTACCTGATGAGTGAAGGACGAAGCAGGGTGCTTTTGGGTCAGTGGTGGTGAGAATTAGGAGAAGCAGAGGACCGTTCTTGTTGCTGGCCTTGAATTCTCGTCGGAATGCAGAATTCCGGCAACCCGTCGGAGTGAAAGCGGCCGCCGAAAATGGAAGGTTGCGACTTGTGATTCTGATGGTGGTGATGCTCCGAAGATGCCACGGGCACGTCGCTCCACGCGCGAACAAGTGGCGAAAAACTGGACTGAAGGGTCCCCCTTTGAGGAAACATCGAGCCTTGCCCTATCAACGAATTGGACTCGAACATCCTCTGGAAATTCGACTCGAATTCGACTGGATTCGAACTACCGAACATGTTTTCGTCGTTCGACGCCGTTTGATTGAGCGAATGAAGAGACAGGCCAAGATCTTGCCCGGAATTCGTTGTTCTGGATATTATCTCCGATGGATAGCTCTGAAAATTGATGGAGGAAGTTGCAGAACTCGTAGGGAAGAAGGCTATGGCGTCGGAATCAATCGCAGGCGGGAGAAATCCCGAAGGAGCTTCAGAATTCTCAGGGTTTTCCGCGTTGTGAGTTTCTTCCTCGGTGTTAGCGGCTATAGGCTGCCATGGAGGAAGCTCGGCAAGCTTATCAATGGCGGATTTGGCATTCTTGATAAGCCAATCTACGGCTTTGCTAGGCCGGTCGTAGCCGAGCCGGTCTTGAACATCGTAGAATTGAATCGCGGTGTGAGCCGATAAACGAACCCTTCGATCTCGAGGCCCTTTCGAAGTATAAACCTTACTGTGACGATCTTTCCGACCGGTGGATCGAACAATGTGACCTCCTTGAACTTGGATAATCTCTCCTCCTCCAGCGCTCTTCATTCCCGTACCTTTATGCCTTGTCATCCATAGAAGATACTGAAATTGAGGGTTTATGCTCAAACTACAGGCCCTAGTTGTAGCTTCTGATTCCTACTTTTTGATTATGCGTTTGGAATTATTCGGCAGATTTTGTTTCTGCTCCGGTGAACTCTGATGACTCTGCACTAGAAATTCAAAACCCAGATGAATATACCAACGAAAACGTTATGAATTACTCAATGCTGCTTCTTCTGCAAGGGAGGTTCTCATTCATAACTGAATTATTTATCCTTAAGGTGGCTTTACCAAATTTGTATTTGTGAAAATGAAGAACAGAGGAAGGAGGAGATGAGAGGGTTCTGGGGAGAAGTCGGAGAGAAAGAGATAGGACAGTACCTAATAAGAGAGAACGAGGGTTGGCTGATGATGCTTTGTGCTGCTAAGTGTGTCAGAAAAGAGTAGTAAAAAAATGTTTAGATAAAAATAAAATTATAATTTTAAAAATATTTTTACAACACAGTGACATACTAAATAAATATATAAAAAGATTTATCTCAATTTATAAAAAACAAAAAAAGTGAGTTACCAAACAACCCTTGAAAAGGTTTTGGTTCGTTTCGATAACTATCATCGGTAGCCGCACAGCCACAAGTTACCAGTTTATATACGCCCCTTCTCAAACCTCAACGACTCTATTTCCTCCTCTCATTCCCTCCACAATAATTTCTTACCTTTTTCTTTTTCTTTTTTAATTTGATGAGGGCTTTCCTTTTTCATGCTTAATTGGCTAAACTGAAGTACAAATGGTTTTTGTCTTTCTTTTTTCTAATTTGTTTATGCTCTTTTTTTTTATCATTATTCAATTCTTCCTTAATATTCATATCTCACTCTTAGTTTTTGTAGACTAGATTTTCAAAAACTATTTTTAAAAAAGCTGAGTAGGCTCGCTTCTCCCAAAGACCCAAACCATGATTCTGCATCGTCATCTTTTTTAAGATTTTTAACCAGGCGTGTCGGTAGTTTACATCAAAAGCAAAATTCTGATCTGATTGAATAAAAAAAGTTGGTATTCATCCAGATTCAAATATTTTCCCAAGCTTTCCTCCCGTCCCTGATAGATGTTGGTAAAACTTTTGGGTTGATGTTGGTAAAGTTGAATGCAAAGTGCACATTGAATATTTTCTCTTCAAAATTTATAATCAAAACAATATTATTTTTTATCGTTAAAAAACTAACATTAATTACTAAATTTTTTAATAGTAAAAGATAATATTATGATGATTTTAAATTTTCAAGACGAAACCTAAATTAATACTTTTGGGTACCCGAGAATAAAAACTCATAGAATAAATTTGCACCCTAATTATTTTCTTATCCAATATTTAAAGCATGAGACTTCCTGCATTTTTAGAAACTTTGTACAGTTTATTTCTACTTTTAAAAATACTTTTCTATGTTCTCAGACACCCTATAATGTTATTTGTTGAAACCAAGCCTAGATACAGCAAGTCAGCAACACATGCAATGACTCACTGTTCTTAAATACAATGAATCAAAGTTTTGTAAATATATATTAACAACTAAAAGAGTAGTCATTAACAATTTAAAGTATAATGATTAATAACTATTACAGCATGTATTAACAATACATTTTCTTAGCACATCACAAAAATATAATACATAAGTTGTCAATATTTGTCGTAATAGTTGTTAATCCTTGTATCTTAAATTGTTAAGGATTACACTTTTAGTTATCAATACATATTAAAAAAAAGGATAATTTAAAAACTAACAAATAAAAGCTCTTCTAATGAGATTTTTGAGGTTTCAGTATAATTTAATAATTTCAAGAAAAAATTTTGTATTTAGTTATCTTGGGGTGGGATCTTATTGTAACTTTTCTTAGATTTAATTTAGTCCCCCAAAAAAGTACTCGTCAATAGTGCGAACTATCTGCCTCCAATTTGTTTGGATTCTGACCTGCCGCCCATATCTTTCCATCAGGACCCGTTTGAGACTTGAGCGTCTTTCTTTCTTTTTCGTTTTTTTTCCCCCCCCCAAATTCCAATCAAAGATAAAATAAATAAAACTCGTCCATTAAAATATAAGGAAATACTTCAAACAAAAACTTGAGTTGTGTTTTTCCCTTGAATGATATTAGTAGCGTTTGTTTTTGGCCAAATGGTCATGCTAGTCATGCTAAATACAATAAAAAAATTAATTCCTCTCAATTTTCAACTATTTATAAATACCATAATTTAATATATAAATATTAAAATATGATATGTAAATAAGATTGAGAAAATAATCAATTTTCTTACTTAGGATTTGTTTATAATTCTTATTTTCGTCTGTTAACTGGGAAAATATTGAAGAGAATCTCTAAATCAACGGGCAATGAAAATATTATCTCTAATTTTTAATGTAAAAAATAATTAAAAATTAGATTTGGTTATAAACATAAATTTCTAATTAATTTTATTTTTAATTTTATAATTTTTATTGATTATAAAAAATTTTATTAAAAATATTTTTAAGACATATAATTGATGAGTTGTCGTGGTAATAGTAAAGTTGTAGACGCCAATTTTCTTCGAGGCCGGGACTATTCTCGAGAAGTTCACATTGAGGATATGCCGTACGCAAAATGCTTCGATTCGGCATCAACCTGAGTGCGTGGGAGACGGCGAACTACGGTATTTACGTAGAATTGCATGGGTTTTTTTAAAGAGAGAAATACGATAAAATCTTTAAAAAAAGGTAATAATTATAAAATAAGTTTTAAAAGATATTACTACCTTCTGTCTTAATATAAGATCTTATTTGACTTTTATTTTGGTTCTAAATATAAGATTTCAATATACTTTGTCTCTTATATTTATACATTTTTTCCAAATAGTTTTCTCATAATGATAGTTTTAGACAATATATTTGATTAGTAAGGATATTTTAATAAAAACAATACCTATTTAACACAAATTATTTTTGTAATTTTTTAAATTAATTAATTAACTCTTAATTAGAATCAAAACGAAGGTAATATTTTCTATCCTAAAATTGTTCATTACATATTGTTTAGCTTGAAATTGAGATTTTTTAATTTTTTTAAGCCTCGTTATAATTTTTTTGTTTTGAATAATAGTCCTACTATAGCCATGAGATGGTGATGATGAATTGAGGGTAAAGGAGAGTGAGAGGGCAACGATTCAGCGAATGAAGGAAGAGGGTGTCATGAATGCTCCATTAATACCACGATGTCTGACCTTTCACCATTTCACACTATCCTCCTCTTTAGGACGGCTCTAGATTCTGCCCCTATGTCCTCCCCATTTCCAACACACTTATTTATGCTCCATCCAAAGCTATTACTACTACCTCGTGTTTTTAATATAAGATTTTATTTAATTTTTATTTTGATCTTAAATATAAATTTTAATTTACTTTGTCTCTCATATTTATTAATTTTTTTAAGATAATTCTTCTAATAATTATAGTTCTAGTTAATACACTTGATTAGTAAGGATATTTTAAGAAAGACAACACCTGTTTAGGATAAATAACTAACTCAACTTACTTTTTTAATCTTCTCAAACTGATTAACTGGCTTCTTATAATTAAACCGGAGGTAGTATTAATTTTCTTTTTAAAAAATTCTCTCTCTTGCTCCCTTTTTTGAAGAACAAAATCGGTAAGTTCGGATTCAACTCTGTCTGAAAATACACCCAGCGGGTCCCAATCCCCCCCCCCTCCAAAAAAAAGTTCCTCGTTAGTGTTACGCAAAAATATTTTTAATATATTTACTTATATATTATAAAATTGTTTTTAATATTATAATTTAGTTTTTATCCAAACAATTTTTACATAACTCAAAACAAAACTTTTTTAATATATTCATTTCATTATTTTTTGATTTTATTTATATAGTATTTTTGGCATGTTTCACACAAATTTTAAACTGTATTAATTTTTCGTTAAAATATAATAATTTTTTAATTTTATTTCTATTTAATATACACGTTTTTCAAAAAAAAACTATTTACACCATAATATATACAAGACAAAATAGTATATTTATATTAAAAATTTATGTACATGACTTATAAATAGAATTAACAAAAATATTATTTTTTTACTTTATAAATAAGACCAAAGAAATATTTTATAAAATATAATTTGAAAAGCTGTTCATCCAAATAAGTATTTGGAAAATCAAATAGAAACAAAGTAAAAGACCTAAGGGGCGCCGACTCTGGGGATGCACGAGCTACTAGCATGTATTGATATATTCCTTCCAATCATAGTATACCAGCGTGATCTTAAATGTGAGAAAGTTATAGAAAGGATTCTGATAAAAAAAATATATAAAAGTCACTTATTAAAATATATATTTGGTTTTTTAATTTTACGTAAGATTTCAATTTACTCCTTTAATTTTAAAAAATTTATTTTTAATCATTTAACTCTAAAATTATAAGTCTTAAATGATAATTTTTTGTAACAATTATAATTATTTTGAAAATTAAACTTAATATGTTAGCGTATAGTAATACTTTATCAACATTGAAGAGCTCAAGTAGTTGGGCAGCCATGTACGTATAAGAAATATTTAAATAACGTAAAATATTGCTGCAGCTTGACTGAGATATTCATACTCAATACCCTTCTTTTTTTTCCCCTGTTTGGTTACATGGTGTGACTAGAGACAGAAGAGGGAAAATAAGATTAATAGGAAAATTTTTGAAATAAGAGCATAAGACAACAAATCTAAAATGTCAATAAATTTAAAATGGGAAGCATGGAAGGAAAAAAAAAAATCGGGAGAGTGAGATAGCTCACGTGCCACATTTCTATTACTCTCTCGTGTCAATAATACAAGAAGTTAGTTAATTTTTTTCAATTTTTCTCACATACTAATAAATAAAAATTTAATCATGAGATATGTTTTAAAATAGTAAAAATTTTCTATTTTATTCCTAAAAAATGTTGTAATTTAAAAGTAATAAATTAATTTAAATATTTATTATTATCTCTCATCTCTCTTCTATATATATTTAATAGAGTCAAGTAGAAATTCATATTAATTATCCTGACAATGTCTTATATTTTAGATTATAATTTTTCCTAACCAACTCTTTATATTATAAATTATAGGGATTATGTATATGGGATCTCATCCGACTTCACAAAAAGGACTTTTTTAATAGTGTTATTAATTCTTTAAAAAGCATTAAATATTTTTTATGCTCATATCCATGTTTAATAAGTAAAGTCTTGTAGCAAAAAGTAATACGACACTAAAATTTAGCATAGTTAATAAAAACAATATTAAAAATTTCTTTAAAATTTTAATAGTTTTAATTATTTTTATTCATAGGTGTGAATTTTTTTTTGACTAGCAGTATGTGTGAATTAATTAAAAATAATTCATAATCACGTATTAAAATTGACCATGGCAAACAAA